GATGTGAACGTTGTGATCAGCTGTTTTAGCGCAGTGCTGCTGTACAGACCGACGTTAACAGCAGCCCTGTCTGTGCACACGGAGACCGACTGTCGTCCGGTGATCTAACCGCCTTCTGGAAAAGCTTCACAAGTACGTCGGTACGCAAATGCGCTTTGTGACACAAATGACGGTACGCATTTCAGATTGTTGCCGCGCATGCGTATCTGCGTACCACTTATGTGCACCCCTGTTTATAACCATGTTTAACAAATTAAGAAACAAAGGATACAAACTACTGGACACTACACTTTGTCAGTTTTCCTTATAGGGGAATTTAATTCAACCCCCACAAACACATTAACAGCTTAAAGACTTGATCCAGAGTTTAAACTTTTAAATATAGTCAATGGTTTAAACCCACCTCAATGCAGACGATAGCGTTACAGGAGAGGTCCAGAGACTTCAGACGGACAAAGTTATTCAGAGCATTTCCCAGATGTCTGATCTTCTCCTCATACGTCCCCGGGAGGCTCAGTGAGCGGACATCACCTGTTTAAAAGAACAAAATGTACTATGAGACTGCAGTGAATTATTAGCTTGTGGTGCATGTGGTTTGGAGCAGATTGCAGTCATTGCTAGTGGCTGTGTTAGCTGGCGTTAGCTTAGCCGTCAATGCTAAGGTTTGGAAAAGTAACTACGGTTGCTAAAATAGTTTTAAAACAACACAAGCTCAACACCATGGCTTGACCTGTAGTAGTCGCTTGTATGTATTCGCATAAAGCGCTTGTATTAGAATTAGATCATCTTACCAAGACAGGGATGTTTTAATTGTAATCTCTCCCGTATCCATTGCTCTGTTATGGTTGTCAAACTCTCCGCCGCCATACTTTTCGAACTCATGCTGCCCTCAAGTACTGTCGGAAGAAACCGAGAGCATCATTCAGTTTGACCTTTACATTGATGTGCACCATCTGTTTTACTGATTAAACGCAAAGACAGTATATCATAATCGTTTGCTACTCATACTAACATTAGCTATTATCTTTCTACCGTTAAAATAATCTTTTTTTCTGCCATACTGATAGATCTGATCAAATACATTATATTCGATACATATACAATTCATAAATTCATAAATATGTATGCCTACGCAACTAATACATATGGCTTTAAAATAGAAAGCCAAACACAATTTACAATTATTGTTGCACCTGCACCTATATTGCTGGAACGGTACAATCAGAGTTAACAAGGAGCATTAAAGGCGTCTCTTGGAGCATGCGTACTATCCACATGGTCCACATCCGGAGTTGTCACGTGTCATAACAAACGTGTTCCTGTCTAAAGTTTGGTCCTCTGTTATCTGTGTTCGGCCAACTATAACACACCGTCAGATTCATGCAACAGTCTAGTAGTTCACTTCACACACACTCGTTGGAAACAACGTATTGTTGCTGTTAGTAACGGTAGCGTTCCCAACATCGTGGATGTTTGCAGGAGTGCCAGTCGTCGTCAGGATCAATGGCGTCCTTTGCAACAGAGTTGATAACATCATGTTCCAACATCGTTTTGTCTGCCACAGCATTATACTATTCCTACAGACTATTTAAGGTAGGTGGCATTCAGTGCAGTGCCAAATATCGATGATAATTGGTTAAAAGTTATTTACTAACTTCAACGTTTTGTGCTGAAACCATAAATCGATGTAGCTGACCAAACGATATTTGACAGACATTCACTCCTGTGTTCTGCTTTGTGTCCTACTTGTCCAGTGTACACTCATTCTAAATAGAAGGTGGACTTTAATCCATTCAAAAGATGTATCCTACTACTTGTAATGTCCACTGTAGTAATACATGTCTGCATTGTCACTGGGTCACATAACATGGAAATTATTGAAAAAGAAACTTCATTACAATATTCTTATAAAATTCAAATACACACATTTCCTATAAAAAAAAAAAACTAGAGGTGTGTCCTCCTTATCCAGTTTAATATTACAATTCTGCATTGATTTTGAAAAATGAAGGTACATGATACAGAAGCGATTAACAATATATAAGAGTTTTAATAAAACGGCATATAAAAAAAGAGACATACTTAAATAAAATTGAAGAATCATTCCAATGTATCCCACTTGTTCAGTGTATTATCACAATGCATTATTCATTTAAAATCATAAGGCTAACTGCCTGTGCATTTGTCTCTCTATAGGATCACAGGGCTCCTTCAGTAGGCCTCTTCCTGCTCGGACTCTCTGCAGCACTGTGCATCGTGCAGCCCTCCAGCTCATACCTCACGTCTTTACAGAGAGAAGCAGAGTGGACCGCCCAGGTTCTGGCTCCAGCGCTGGTCTCCTTCGACTTCCTGTGGCTCAGTGAAGACCACAACACAGCACATACCCTCCTGTGTGGCTCCTGTCTGCTGCTTGGTCTGTGTGACTGGCTCTCAGCCGATGCTCTCACGCTGATGACGCGCTGCCTCGGTTTGTCTTCCCTGTCCTGCTGTCTGACGGTCTGTCTGTTTGCAGGGAATGCTTTAGGGGCCTTTGGCGGTGTGGCCCTCAGCCTCCCATTGCTTGTGGCTCAGAGGGTCGGAACAAAGACTTTCGCTCCACTCATTTCTCAAGCTGCAACTGAGGGACTCATCAAGTGGCTTTTAAAGGGCATCATGTCTGTGGGCTGTTGGGCCTCCACACAGGCCCTTGGCAAGTTCCTGTTGGATGTGACTGAGCAATGTATCATGGACCTTTAGAAAATCTGTAGATATCTGTATGATGAGTCAGGATCCGTGTATAGTGATGGACTTGGACAACATACACAACAGTACAAAAGTCAACTGGTACTGACCAAAAGGGACCCGTGCAAAAGTGAATGTGCCTAACTTATTAGCATTTCAGAACATTTCTGAAAAAGAGTTGTGCTGCACAATTTTTGCGATTACAACAAACTTTTTCAGGATGTTTTTAACTGGATTAATTTGTATTATATTAATAATAATAATAATAATAATAATAATACATTTTATCTTGTATTTTAAGGTATAAAAAGATTGCAGTAGAGTTGGAGTGAGAAGTGGATTCATCGATTAGTAAATTGACTCAAAATGAAAAGATACAATATATACAATACATTTTCTAAATGATTTATTAAGAAATTATTGATTATTTCGTAAAATGCCACACAACAGCTGATGGAGGAATTGCTGTTTTTTTCTTTGTTTAGTCATGATAAAACAAATATCATTGAGATAAAGACTGTTGAGATAAAAAGCAATCCAAAGAGTTCACCTTTCGCACTTGGAAACATTTTAAAATATATTCTGACATTATCTTACAGATAATATGACTCATTTAAGATTTTAAGAAAGACAATGTAAACATTTGCATTTCTTTCTTCATTATTGAGGCCACATGCACTAAAGTATAACATGCTAGGGCTGCTCGATTATGGCAAAAGTCATAATCTCAATTATTTGGGTCAATAATTGATAAAAACGATTATTACCCTGAACTTTAAGTTGAATTCAACTGAAAAAACAATAAAAAAAAAAAATCGTTTTATTTCGATTACGTTGTTTTCATAATCGTTGCAAGCCAAAATCGTAATTGCGATTAAAATACGATTAATTGAGCAGCCCTATAACATGCTTCACATATTTTATGTTTAAGGACCTAATACAATTATTATTTAACACAATTATTAAGGCTGAGATATATGAAACATGAATTTTCACAAGTGCTTTTTATTATTTATTTTGTATCACGCTTTGTGTTTGAAAATGAAAAATCAAGCCAAATATTCAACATGGTAACGGAGTATTGTAGCTTACATTTCCAAGTATTTCAGAAATCATTCAGATATCTGATTTAGTCAATTATTTGTAGTTCCAATGAAGTCCCAGATTAGGTTTAAGCATTAACAAAACCCAGATGCCACTGAACAAAGTCATTTGCATGAGAGTATCCGACCACAATTTAAAACTGATAGCCCACTGTGATGCAGCAATGACCTTTATTAGACATATTGGAGTACCCTCCTGACATTAATTATGCTGTTCAATTTGAATTCACCAGCACGTGGGCGGTTTAATTTCCTCTTTGATCATTTTAGACAATGGATTTCCGGCTGTATTCACTGTCAGGCTGTTAGAAGCCTGCAGACATCTCTTCAAAAGTTTCAACATATAGCTGCTTCAGAGTCTGGGTCCCATTTGTTCTGCAGCCTCAGCAGTATCACTGTTTCCATATCTGCAGTGGTCTGAGCTCTTGGTCCTGCTCTTACCTCACCATGCTCGTTTGATACTTATCAGTAGACATTTTACATAATGGTCTGCTGCAGTGGTAACAGAAATGACCTCATCTGTTTAACATTGTGCCCACATTGTTGTCCTAGCAACATTTCCATATTCTGTGCAGCCATGTGAACACTGCAGATTCTCTCTCAGGATTTCAGAATTGTAAGCAGCTGCCTCAGCATTTTTACTGCAGTAAACAAGGATTTGTGGCTGTGTTCCTGTCTGTGGAACAATGCCTTTGTCAGACCTCAGCACACAGGTGACCAGGGATATTTAAACATGTATTTAATTCTGTATTTAAAAAGGATGATGCTGATTGTGCTGTGATTCATCATTAAGGTCAAGTCTTTATTGGAAACATTAATCTGTTTTAAAATGTCACATTTTGTATTTTTATTTATTTTTAATTTGTTAACAAAAATGTGAAAACTAAAGGAATTTTAAGTTGACATAACTTGAATAAATTATTTAAATGCATCTGAAGAAATTACTTTTAGTTACAGAGTATCATTTCCCACTGCGTTACACAGGCTTCTTGTCTTGTGGCCAACTTCTGTACCATAACAGTCCTTGGAAACATCAAATATTGCAAGTGCAATACGTTGAAGTATCTGATTTCTATGAACACCTGGAACCAGGCACATCTCTTCCACCCCTTTCTCTGTTATCACCACCAACCGCTCCTGGTTCAATCTGTCTCCATACAGAAACTGTCACTTCACACTGCAGCGGATCAGTAAACTGCACTGAGCATGCTCGTGCAGATGCAGCCTGTAGATGGAGCAAAGTGGAGAGGAGGAGAAAGAGGAGGAGAGGGAGACACACAGGAGCTGCACACAGCGCTCTGAGAACAAAACCTGCATGGGAGGATTCTTCTCTGTCAACACAGATGGAGTGTGAGAGGGGAATACCAATGACTGGGATGTCAGATTGTCATCGCCAAGGAGGAACAGAAACGTGAAAAGGTAAAGAGAAACATCTCAGCTTGATGGAATGAAGTGACGTAAAAAAAAAAAGAAGAAAATGTATCTTGAGAAGTCCTGATGTATTGTGTTTTTTTTTAATTTTTATTTTTACATGTATTCTTCCTTTTATCAGAAAGACTTCAAGTAAAATTGTGTGTGTGCTTTTCTGCTGCAAGATAGAGATTATTTACTGAGTTTGTGTGTCATTTACAGGGTCTCTTGGACGGCGTAGCAATGTACGCCTTCTACTCCCTGTTAGTCTACATCTTCTACACCGTCTTCAAGAAGGAAGAGGAGGATGAAGCTTTGGAGGGGGCCTGTGGATCTTCCTCAAATGTATGTCTAGCCACATCATGTCTAACCTCGGGGGTCCTCCGTGAGGAAAAGTCATTTTTATTTCAGGGAACATGCCTGCGTCATCTTTACCCCCCGACAGTACAGAAGGGCTCTGTCATAGAGCACGTATACATTTGTGTTTTCATTTTCTTTGCTCATTTTGTGGATTTCTGTGGATGCAATATGTAAATATTTAGCCTGTGCATTACCATCTGACCCTAATGCATGTTACTGTGTTCAGGAGCCAAGACCTGTTTCCATGGAAACAGGGAGAAGGAGGAGAGATGGCCACACCTCCAAAATGGGGAAGAAGGCTTGTTCTCAGCGTGGTGAATCCAGTAAGTGCTCAAATAGCTGCTTTTTTTAGTCCAATGTAAAGGCTGTCATGTGATATAGCAGATTAATAAAACATTTATGATGTGGGTAGATTCTACTTATTGAATATTTAGTATATACATTCCTTTACTCTTCATTGTTTTTGTGATTTGTTTTCATCTAGGCAGTAGCAGTGACAGTGATGAAATGTCTCTGAGTGATGAAGGTGAGGCAGAAGGCCCCGACATCCCAGCATGCACTCCTCTAGCTGCTTTCCTGTCCTTCAAGCATGAGGCTGAGAAGAGGAGGGCCTCCCAGGTCCAGGTGGAAACAACAGGAAAGGTGACCAAACTGTCATCACCTAATCTTAGCTCCTCACTTGATGCATAAATGAGAAGTTCCCCAAATAGTAACTCCCTATGTGCTGCTCAGCCGACAGAGTCTCCCCTGCTGGCGGTGATGTCCCACTTGCTGACTTTTCTGGAGCAGTACTCCCACTTCCAGCAGCTGCAGCAGCAGGCCGACCAGTACCGGGTCCAGCTGAAGAGGCACCGCGTAAAGCACCGCCGACAAATGAAGGCCCTACGAGCGTCATACCGCCAGCGCCTCAGGGACAAGAGCAGCATCATCAGCAGCCTGGAGGAAGCCATCAGCCAGCAGCACACCCCCAGCCCGCTGAGCGAGGGTGAGGGGGAGAGGGAATGGTCACCTAGGGGAAGGAGAGAAGAAAGAAAGAAAGAAGGGGGAGGGGGCAATTAAGGTGCAAGAGGAATGGGTTTTTCAATTTCCTTCCGGTAGGTGTGAGGAGGATGAAAAACAGAGAGGTAGAGGTCAAGTGGTTGTTTTAATAACCAGAAGTAGTGAAGCAGAAAATGGCCCTGCAGACTTCAAATCGATATGAGACTTCAGATTGGGTGAGATCATATGATGGATGGAGGATGATGAGGAAAAAAGGGTATATCACATGCTCATCATAACAGGTGTCTATCCTGGGTTACAGAATAACGATAAGATGGGTTTTCCTTTAAACCTATGAAAGCTCAGTCCTTTCCATCATTATATAACAAAGTGAGTAGGATTTGAGAGTGAGTCATCAGTTCCCAAGATAGTGTCTTAGTAGTTCACTTCAGTCATGGGGATTTTCCATAGTTGGCCCAACCTAGATTAGATCTTTTCAACTTGGGATACGGTACACTTTGTATAGAAGAATACAGTCTTCAGCAGAGGAGCAGACTGATTAGATGTGCGTGTAAGTCAAGAGGCCAGCCTAACTCTGTGCAGCTGCAATTGACCTAAAAGCTTCAGATGTGGGTCTCTGCTGTGTTTCAGATCTGACCAGATGGTTCTTTGACCTCGGAGCAGTAGGATAGCCGTATAGGCTGCACTGTATCACTTTCATGTGTAACGTACAGTATAGCGTGTTGTGCGTAGGTGTGTTTAAAGGGAGGATCTCATGCGTACTGAATCTCATTAGCCACAGGAAAAAGATACATGATTCCGTGGCGAGGTTCTTTGGGTACAGGGATAGTGATTCTTTGGCTCTCTCTCTTGAATAAAACATGGCTCAGAGTTATATTTTATTCCCTGCAAATGCACTTACACGTCTTTCCACATGCAAGGAGCCACGTGTACTTGTGTTGGACTAAAAATAGCCGGAGTCAATGCCCCAAGTGTGACGAGGGTGTGTGGTCTGTTTGTTTACTGTTGTGCAACGCGTAGGCCTAAGTGGAGGGGTGATGCTTGTTTCTTTTAAGATCCTTGAGGCACAGCTGTAGCCTTTGCTTAATTGTTGTTGTTGTTTTTGTCTTTCCCTCACATCACCTCTTCTCCCTGCCTCATTGTGACATGGCGACATTTATAAAATTAGCATAAGGCCTTGCGATGATAATAGGAGTTGACAGGGCCTGATAAATCATTGAGGAGGAGCAAAGTCATTGAAAATGCTGCGGGGCATGCTCCATGGAATTTTTATTTTAGCAGGCTGTTGCTTTGTTTAAATGATCTTCAATGCTCCAAGCTGCACGTGAGAAGCTGCAGCAATCCTGTATAGATCTTTAAAGACACCCAGGAGACTTGAGGGTGGAAACGTTAATGTTAACCTCATTGCAAGGCAAGGTGACTACAGGCTTTCTAAAAGAGCTTTAAGTGCATAGTTAATGTTCATTAATAATAAACACACACAAGCATTTAGGCCTTACTGCAGGTCAGAGGAGGTTCAAACGACCATTGTACTATTATTGGTTGTCTGAATATGAATATTGATCTGAAGATGGCATAAGATAGCTGCTGTTATTTTTGCTTTTTGTAATGCCATCAATATCCAGGCTGTATGATGGTGCTGCTGCATAGGCTGATTTGAATGTTCCTTGTTTATATCCCCCAGGTGAGTCCATCGGTGATGCAGGGACACAAGCTGGGGTTCACCGGCTGGTTGAGTCTCTGTACGGGCTGCAGGGGGAGAGGAGTAAGCTGAGGGGGGAACTCCGTCTGCTGCACTCCCAGCTGGAGGAGAAGGATCTGGACCGACACTCTCGTATACAGACCTTCCAGCAGCAGGTAGGCAGCTGCATATTAAAGAAATCCTGAATGCTTTATCCATTTAGGAACAATCTGCTTCAGGAAATCCATACATCATTTATCACAAATAGTTTATTGTGTTTGAATCTAGTCTCATTACAATAAGTAATGCCGTTTGTAATAATGAAGTAAGGCAAGGCAAGTTTATTTATATAGCACCTTTCAACACACGGCAATTCCAAGTGCTTTACAAAAATGAAAGACATTATGAGCATTAAGAAATAGTGCAGTGGAAACACATTATAAAATAGCATTTAAAAGAGTCATTAAAAAGAAAAGATAATAAAAGAAACATAAAAATTACAAGAATATTAATCTTTGGCCTTTAAACTATCTTTTCAAGTAGTAGTATGTATGCAGTAATGACCTATTATTAATGTTTACAAAAAAAAGTAATATTGCAGAATAAAATCACTTAGATAATGGAATCATGGTGTGTTATATAATATATATAGTAAATCATGTCTGTACTCTAAATGTATCTCTGTTGACCTCTTCTCATTCCTTACACAGATCGACGAGCTCAAGAGTTGCATAGAGGAGCGCGAGGAGGAGCTGTGCAGACTGAAAGCAGCCACTGTAAGCCCTGTGCACTATTGATTCAATCATTTGTCAAGTCTTTGTCACTTCCCTCGTCATCATCAAAGCTGCAACGTCTGCCCACACGCTTCGAATGAAATGCCAAACAGTCAGATTGCGTTGTGTAACACCTTAATTATAAATCCATCTACAAGGATATTGGTTCAAAGATTCAAGATTCAACAATCTCCAACAATCCAACATACATAATAAAATACAAAAATAAAAAGTAGTACAAAAGTCTATATACATGTAAATAGAATATGATATGTACAAGAACAGAATATTAAATTAAAATAATGTAAATTAAGACAAAATTAAATACGGTTTATTGCGTTTATATAAATAAGTATATTGCATGATGACAACAGGAATGTTTATCGGGCACTTAGCAGAGCTCAGGTGTTTAGCAGTCTTCTGGCCTGTGGGATGAAACTGTCCCTGAGTCTGGTGGTTTTAGTCCGGATGCTGCGGTACCGCCTGCCAGACGGCAGCAGACAGAACAGTTTGTTGCTGGGGTGGTGGGGGTCTTTTGTAATCCTGAGGGCTTTCTTCCTGAGCCGCTGGGAGTAGATGTGAGGTATTGGTCACTGGGTTTGATGCATCTCTCATTGTTATGCTGAACCTTTTATTTCATTTCCTCAGGGGGCCACAGACTCAGAGAAGCGAGTGCTGTGTCTGTCAGCAGAGAATGAGAGTCTGAAGCAGAACCTGAGCGTTACCCAAGGCCTCCTGCAGCAGCTGTCAGCCATCCCCTCGCAATCCAGCACCATGCTCATCAAGGTGAGACGCTGCAGCACCACGAGAGCTTGTGAACGCGCTACAGAGGAAGCCATTTGTCACCACAAACATTTAAAATGTTCTTTGTTTCTCAGGAGAATGAGAACCTCCGCAGTAGAGTGCAGCAGCTGGAGATGTCCCTGCAGCAACGTGCTGAACAGCTATCACATCTGGAGCGACAGAGCGAACAAAGTGAGTGGAGGAGAGGAGAGGAGCTGAGGAAACGAGAGGACCGAGTGAGGGAGCTGCAGCTGGAGTTGGACAGAGAGAGAGGGAAGGAGCCAGAGATAAAGGTACAAGAAGGAATAATATATACTATTGCCAAAAATCTAAAATGTTGAGTAGTTGACCCTGATCAGATGTTTTGTTTCTCTCTCAGTATGTCACCCAGACTGTGGAGGTGGAATCACCAGCCACTTTAAAGCAGCTGACCAAAGCCAGACAGAGGAATGAACTGCTATCCGATAAACTGGCCAATCAGAATGAGCGGTGCAAACAGCTGGAGGAACACATCAGGAAGTCTGATGAATACAGCTGTAATCTCCAGCACAAGGTAACAGGAGCCATAGAGTTCATGCTTGACTAGTTTGGTGTAAATTAGTGTCTGTCATTCCTGTGTTAAAGTAAAAATTATATAAATGAACAGGCAGTATAAAACAAGTGATACTTAAGTGAAATAAAAGAAGAGTGCTAAATTAGGTTTTTATACATTTCTCAAACAGCAAAAACTGGATATAAAGTAAGATGGGCTGCTGAAAATAATGTTCTATCATAATAAATACTGATGCTTCAGGCCACTAAGAGGCAAGGAGCCTGATAAGAAACCCCATATGATCCTCTTGGTGCCGTCAACCTTAAATACAAAATATTAAAGAGACAGAATTGAAAAGGGTAAATAAAGAGAATAAATGATCAAAGCGGTGAAAATCAAAGACAGGATGAGGAGGTTTCCTCTTTGCTGCTGTAAATTCCCAACCAGATCAATATGATTGACAGATGAACTCATTACAGAGCCGAGCCGGCACAGATTGGAAAAGTCAAGTTGACATTTTAAACGAAATGCTGTGCGTTTTTACAGATTGCAGCGTATGAGCGAGAAATCACTAAACTGAGGGAGGAGCTGTTGAAAGAGATAGGACACTTGGAGGAGAAGAAGGAGGAGGCTGTGAAAGCTGCCTCCACCTGCTCAGCCGAGCACTTCCAGAACCTGCAGGACCAATTCTTCGGTGAGTGATAAAAAAAAAAACCCAAACAAATCTTTAAAGAGACACTTTGAGAAATGTGCCTTTTTGCTTTGTTGCTATTAGATGACAAGATTGATACCACTCTTTTTGTACAGATTAAACAAATCAATTAGGTAAGAAAGTAAGACAGGGCCTGGTAGGGTGAGCCAGGCTAGCTGGTTCCCCATTTCCAGTGTTTTTGCTAAGCTAGGCTAACCAAATGCTGCCTAGAGTAGTATCAATCTTCTCATCTGACTCAAGAAAGTGCAACAAAAAAAAGTTCCCTGAAGTTATTATTTGATTCAGAATTGTATATGTGCCTGATTCCACATCTTTGTGTCTTTTTGCCAGGCTTGCAGAAGCGTCTGACTGCACTCCCTCCAACTTTACGCTCCATGAAAACCGACTACACCAGTCTGAAGAGCCAGGTTAGAAACTTCTCCGACTTTTACGGAGCAGCTATCAATGACGCAAAAAAACAGGTACGTACTGTGACTCCACATCAAGACTTACAACCTTATTGCATACATTAAGGAGATAGATCAATCTGACCAGCTCAACAAGCCTAGTTTACCTTTTTTGTTACATATTTGTGTGTTTGTCAGGTTACAGCAGCTATTAGTGAGATGTCTGAAGCCAACAAAGATCTCCTGGAGAAATACAGGAAGGAGGTTGCACTGCGCAGGAAGTACCACGAGCAGCTGGTGGAGCTTAAAGGTAAGCAGAGAGGGGAAAAAAACCACTGCAGAATATGAACCGTACATCATTAATTGGGCCTTCTTTTTGTCAGGCAACATCCGCGTGCTGTGCCGTGTAAAGCCGGTGCTGAAGGAGGACCAGCACGAGGAGGGCCAGTCTGTGGTGGTGACCACGGACCCCAACAACGAGTCCTCACTCAATGTGCTGAACAAAGGAAAGGATCGCATCTTCGAACTGGACAAGGTCTTCCACCCTCAGGCCACACAGGAAGAGGTATGAGGACGCACAGGATATGCAGGAAATATAATATTAATAAGATCTAACTTTATTTGGTTTGTTTTCAGGTCTTTCAGGAGATAGAGCCCCTTGTGACGTCCTGCATCGACGGCTACCATGTCTGCATATTTGCCTATGGACAAACTGGCTCCGGAAAAACCTACACAATGGAGGTATCTAGTTGTACTGCATTATTGGAGCTGAATATTGATTACAGATATAGCACACACTCAGCACATTTGTTCCATAATGTGGGCTGCAGGTTAAGTATCACTTTATCTTCAGGGCAGTGTGGAGAACCCAGGCATCAACCAGCGAGCCCTGAAACATCTCTTTAGTGAGATCGAGGAAAGGAAGGACATGTGGACTTACACGGTGACCGTCAGCTCTGTGGAAATCTACAACGAGGTGCTAAGGTACAATGTTCTGCACTTTATGTCCCTTTAGCCTGTAATATATATGATATCTACTACATTTTCACATACTGTTCTGTTATGTATGTTAAATATCCAATTGTATCTCAAATCTTTTTCCCTAATCAAAAGGTTTAAATAGTTTTTTTTTAAAGATATTGCCCCTTTTCTGCTCCTATATTTCCTTTTTGTTGTTTTTTTCCCTGTATTGTTTTTTTGTAATAGACTGGATGCCATTGTAAATACGGATCGCCCCTCAAGTATTATACAAGTGTAAATAAAGGTATGAAAAAATGCTGTTTCTCAGAGACCTGCTGAGTAAGGACGGAGAGAAACTGGACATTAAGATCAACCCGGACGGGACGGGACAGCTGCATGTGCCGGGCCTCAGGGTCATCGAGGTGAAGAGCTTTCAGCACATCAAGAAGGTTTGTTTTGAACAGTTTGTGCTGATAGGATAATTCATTACTGTTCAATATATAAAAGTATTTCATTTATGCAAATTGTTCTTGTTCTTGTTTAGATTTTAGCCAAAGCTCGAAGGAACAGGATCACCTTCGGCACTCAGATGAACCAGCACAGCTCCCGCTCCCACGCTCTGCTCTGCGTCACCGTGCAGGGCACCGACCTCGCCACCGGCTCCAAAACCACCGGTCAGTCACATGGGCACTTATTCCTCTACAGGAGAAAGTGTGTTCTTAATAGTTGCTATAAATCTGAATAAGATTTGGCATTTCTCTTTGAATCCATCTCTTTTATTAAAGCTAAGTGCAGTCTAATACATTATGCTAAATCAAAAAAAGAAAAACTTCCAAAGGGACATCACTGTGAATATCTGCAGCGCTTAGTGAGAAGAGAATTTAAGAAAAAGAGTATTAGAGCATAGGAGGAGCTTCTGATCAGGATCCAGTCAGACAGAAGCTAGTCCAGAGGTGACTGTCTGCATCGTTCACTCTGAATTCACTTTTCCTTTCTCAGGAAGATTGAACCTGGTGGACCTGGCTGGCTCTGAGAGGGTTTGGAAGTCTGGTGCAGAGGGAGAGAGGCTGAAAGAGGCGCAGAATATTAACCGCTCCCTGCTGTCACTGGGTGACGTCATTCAGGCACTGAGAGCTCGGCAGACTCATATCCCTTTCAGGAACTCCCGCCTTACGTACTTATTACAAGACTCCCTGGGAAAAGGTAGCAAGACTGCCATGGTGGTGCAGGTGAGATTTCTGATACAAGTGCCTCAGCCTTAAAAGTGTAACATTTTATTAAAAAACAACATTTGTAGTCTTCTTCGATGCGTGTCATGAGCCTTGTTTTGTTTCTACTAAAGGTATCTGCTCTGGAGAGTAATGTGGGAGAGACATTGTGCTCACTGAAGTTCGCCCAGCGGGTGTGCAAGGTGGAGCTGGGTCCTGCAGCTAGGAAGATTGAATCTGGTGGAGGACAGTGCGACTGACAGTCACTTCCTGTTCCTCAGTGACCCCCAGGAAGCCATGAATCCACAAGTCAGATTCTTATCAACCAATCATAACGCGTCAATATCAAGAAGATCAACAGCAATCCTGCTCAAGGGCTAAATCTGAAGAGGTCTGTGTGGCAGCTGAATGCCAGCCTTTGATTGAGGTTGGGCGTTCAGGCCTCCTCGTTGCCATTTCCTGCTTCTGACAAGCGATAACCCTTTATCTTTCGCTAATCTGCATGCAGGAGTATTTACTCTCTCACTCCGAGTGCCAAAACAACCTCTGACTCCCCCCAAGGTCTAGATACGATGCTTCCTTGAACTACAATATCTCAGTTTCCTCTTGTGAAATACCAAATCCCAGGATTTATCTTATCAGCTTTTTCTTGCTGGTCATCACAGTATTTAAAGCAGCGTGATGACAGAGAACAGGTTCAACCAGCTTCCAGAGCCACAATATCAACAACTCCGTTTTTAGAAGTATTTATCATCTTGCTATTAATATCTGTAGTTTGTGAGCTTCGTCGCTAATGTTGTATATTTTTGAAGATTGTAGTGTGTAGGGGAACCTGTTTTGTAGTCAGTGAGTATGGCTAATAATAATTAGAGCAGTTTTTACGAGATTCAGAAGAGCACTGAATGGTTTCTGTTTCTCTTTAGAGCCTTCATCATTTGTCTTTTGAGAACAGAGGAACGCTGTTGAAGGAACAGGTGGCCTTGAATGAGAAGTGGTGATGAATGGTGCAATACGTCCCTGTAGAGGAGACAGTTTAGGCCTACGTTGGAAGAAGCACTTTGAGGGAAAATAGGAACTATTTAGTTCAGGAAAGGTATATACGTGCTTGATATAGATATCACTAGTGAATGTCATACCAAAAATCGCTTATTGTTATCTGTTCCTCTATGTATCACCCATTGGATCAACTTGGTTCAATAGTAGCAAGACATTAATGTTGCAGTAACTACCATGAGTGCATAGGGCTCACTTAATAAGGCCTAGTCGGTGGATTTTCAGATCGTTTTCTGAATAAATACGACGTATTTAAAAAGTGTCTTTTCTCTTATTTGATGTCCAGCAACAAAAGAATAAATATATTTTTTAGTAATAACATGAAACTACAACAGCTACCGCTTGAACATCTCAAGATGTAAGAGTAAATGTTTATGGGCAAAACTTTGCACATTTCTAATTATCTCTAATTACATTGTTTATTTTGATGTCAGTGTTTTTGCATACTGTATTATATCTCAACATATATATTGATGATATATATAGTTTTGTTTACATATGCCGTGATGAAGGAATTAATCCATATTGCCCCTCCCCCCCAGCCTCAAAATAAAGACAACAGGCATAACAAATAATAATCAGGCATTAGAAAAAAATCACATTATTTTACTTGAAAAGATAAAAATGACAGGAAAATATGTAACATGACCAATGCACGTTAATAAACCACATAAGCAGAATGTTCTATTACATATTAATGTTATAATGTAATGATACAATGCAGGAGTCAGAAGGATATCGTATGAAAACCTGAAATATTACTTTACACCCTGAAATTGGCAGTCTTTTTGAAAACAACACAGATGTGACAATACTGTCCCGTGTTGTAGGCAGAGGCGATCACTCTGTAGTCTTCTTATTTATTTATTTTTTATCCGTCACATTTTGGATTCAGTCCGAGTCTCCGTGCTCCTCTCCTACTGCTCCCACCGCCGCGGCCAACTCCTCCTCACTGCCTCGCAGACGATCCCCTGGGCACACACACACTCACGGTCAATCTGATCATTCATTCTTCAATCAATAGATGTTTAACATTTATAGAGATCAAGCAGATTGAGCAGAACCTGGTTACACTTTTATTCAGGTTGATTAGCATTCACATATTGTAACTAAGCAACCCTGTTAACACAACGACAGAGAAGCAGAGATACTCCCAAAACAAAAAAACAGTTATTTACAAAAGTAAGTACAATCATGTTTTCATTTACCTTAAGCTGTAAACAAAAAAAAGAGTTGAAACCAAAGTATAAGGGGTTACTGTTTACATATTCATGCCATTATAAACCTAGTGTTAGTGTGTAAACATTGTGTTCTCCATAATAGCTCACGGCTATTATTAGAATGTGGAACACAAATCACTGGAGCAATCGCATCATTGATGTAATCAGATGGCGTCAAGCCCCTTGAGTCTGGAAACCACAGAGCAATTAGCCTCATAATTCACGCCTCGCTCCGACCTGCTCGTCACTGTGGTGCAAAAAAAACATGAGAAAGGGAATACTCACGGATGAGCTCAGCGATGCCTCTCTGCGTTCTCCTCTCCAACTTCTCCAGTTTCTTTGCCACATCACGCTTTAGATCCCTACGATCAGAAACAATAGATATAAACAATAAGATGATAATGTCGGTAACATTAAACCATACCAAGGTTCTCTGCAATTTGCAGAGTGAAAGATAATGTTCTAGAAGCTCTTACCAGTCTGGTTTTCTTGGGGCGAGGTTGGCCAAATCCTGAGGAAATAAAACATCTGTTAAAAAGAAAAACATGACCAATGAGGGCACGAGATAAGTTTGTGCACAGATGGAAGGCTGACAGGCAGGTAGGCCATCCAGTTATTTTAGCCGAGCCGGCTCAGATGATTGGTCGTACTTTTTACAGTACTACGGCTTCCACAGATGACATTTATTAATGTATTTCTTGTCAAAGCATTTCATGTATTCATTGCTATCGGGATGTTCAGAGCATTCCATGGAATATAACAAAAGGTTTTTCTGAAGTGAATTACCTACCCCACCTTTAGAGCAACTACAAAAAATGTGACTCTTCAACAAAATAAATCACAGTTACAAAAGAAAAGGACGACTCACCACTTCTTCAATGATGGGTTCTGGGTTAGCTGCCTCTAACTGGTCTTTAACTTTTTCCTCAACTGCAAACAAAGAACATGTATCATTACTCAGAAAATAGATGTTTAACAGGATGCTAAATGTTTGCTGTTCAGAAGCTTACCATGTGATATCGCTGAGGTGTGATGTGAATACTAAGTGAATGTTTTCTCAAAGCTCTTTTATGACTGAAGGCTTCTCACCTGATGCCGGTTTGGCTTTGGGCACCTGCCTCTCCTTCAGCTCTTCATCCTCTGGAGTGTAATTTCTCAGTTTCAGCTCTCTGAGGAAAGAAAAGCAGAGTAATGCGTGTTTACTTTAGAGATAGGGATAAATGCAGAGATGCTAAACTTACATGATCTCACTCTTTCTCTCTTCCAGGAGGTGGCAGTGCAGCCAAACATATATCACCAGAGATTAAGAAGCATAAAAGGCCATCTGCAAACCCAACACAGCTGCACGTTCAGTGTCCAGAGGAGGCTGGGTATAATGTCCCTCTTTATTCCTATGAACACGTCTGATTAACACGGTCCACCTGCTCCTGGGCATGGACTTGAGGAGAGCAGCAAACAGCTGAGGAATTCTGTGCTTGATGTTGAATCACGCAGTCTCTCATCACATATGCACAGAGGAATTCCTGGCGAGTTTAGCTGACATCTCTGCAGATTATATAAAAAGACATCCAGACCCAGAGGTAAACTACTGTCCCACCGAGCTCGGACCAAGAGGGTTTATCAGCTGCTCTGAGCTTAACATGGATTTGCGATGAGACTCGAGAGGGTGCACTCTTGATACATTCATCACACCCCGGCTGCCAGCAGACAGACCGATGCCTTGTATGGGTATGGGCAGGAATGCTGGTCATGTTCTGCCTTTGGCGGACTGAGGGTTACTCTTAGTTCACACACACGTCTCTCTGTGCCTCCAGAGTCTTTCCTGAGGAGGAGGAGGAGGAGGAGGAGTACGTCTACATATCTAATCTTATATAGAATTCTCAATTCCACTCATATTGCAGTCACAATAAATATATTGTTTTTATCTTAAATTAAACAAAATATTCTTATAACTATGGAATACAACTAAATTAAAATCAAAACTACATCAATGGTTGTCGTAAAGTCCTTAAAATTAATTCAACGGTTTTAATAATTTTGCTTAAATGAGCTCCACAGTCCCAGTGTAACAAAGTCCAGATGCCCTGACAGACAGTTTGGAGTAGAGCAAGAGCAACAGGCCATCAGCCTCCAATAGATTCAAATAGGATGAGACTGAACATAATTAAGAAAGGAGGGAACGATGTGCCGTAGATCAAGAAATTGAAACTGACCCTTATCTGACAATGACAAGTCAAATGAGAAAAAGGCCTCTAAAGCTGGGCTGCATTATGTGATGTGTGGGAGTTTAAGTGTTGGTGTAAGGGTGGCAGTAGTATAAAGGAACATGACTTGCAAGAGAAAATGAAATTGCATTCTTGCCATTATTCAACTTTTTTTTTTACAAGATTCAGAATTTCTCCTAAACATGATGTTGGATGAAAGACGGAGAAAGTCCTCTATGGAGCGAGTTGGGGTGTAAGCTTGATGGCAATGTGTTCATTAGATTTAGAAATGGTGTTTTTTGTGGCATGAAAGGGAAAGCCCAACATAACACTAAGATACATCATAGGAAAAAGAATATTACTGAAAAGGTTCATATTGAGTCATCTTTTTTTAATATCCAAACTGAAGTTCATCTATCCTGGCTGGTAAATGTCACGGTATTTTTTATAGACTAAAGTACATTTGGTAAGCAAGAGAACATAAATAATTGTCCGTAATGCACATGTTTTGCCTCCGAAGTTTGACGTTGCGCTTGCTTTTCTTAACCGTCTCTTATTGCGTCCAAACCTTTAAAGTGCGTTTACACATTTCTACTTCAAGCACACTGGCATCAAAGAGAGCCTGTGATCAATTCAGAGCAGGGTCCCAAGGGTGGCTCTTCCTAAATGTTTAGAGTGAACCGTGGCTGAGGAGAAGCTGCAGCAGTGTTCCAATGTTTACACTGATATCAAGCTGCTCCACTCACCAGAGCAAAACACCAGACAGCAGTTAGCCTCCTCAGCGAGCCACAGAGATGGTTTGAGCTAACATGTTAGTCATATCACTATTTTAGAGGCTTTTTAACTTCCTTGGATCATAGTTTTTATTTCCAAACCATTTAAGGCAAGTCTTCCTAGGTTAAAAGAAAGCAGCCCATCAACACCTAACAAGATGTAATAGGAAAGGCTGCTTGGTGCACTCGGTGTCTTCTGTGGAGAAATGTGTGATACGACACAGGAAACTGAAAAACCACAAGTTCTAAGGTTTTTCTTGTGGATCATTATTTTAATATGAACAATAACTTTAAGACAAACATGTTTATTGTTGTGTTCTTTCATGCCTGGACTAGGCCATTTGATCTCACATAAAGATGTAATGGCAAGACAAGACAAATGAAGACAGGTCACACGACCACACCTCACCATAACTGTGTCTTGATTTAGCAAAACAATTATTGAAGTTCCTTCCTTTAACTCTAGACTTTTTGCTTCACTGACATTGGTCTAAATGAGTCATGTTCATTGTCATGAGAGCTCTGTCGTGTTGGACTAAAGGAAAAACAGCGGCACTCCCTCAGTGCCGTCATTAAATATAAACAATGGAAACAAGGTCCTGTAGGACAGGAAAGATGGCTGCTCCTTTCTACCAACTGACACAAAGTAGAGTAACCTGCAGGATATTTGAGCAGCTAATAGCACGAGGCTGTGATCCGGCCCGGGGTAAACACTGCGTCTTATGACCTGCACTGTGTGACAAGGAGATGGTGTTCAGATAAAGGCTACGTTGGAATACTTCCAAATCGGTTTCTCTTCTGTTTTATGCAGCTTAACACACCTCTAGCTGAATGTGTAGTGAGCAACAGTTTAAGAGATCTTTACATGCTTTATGAAAAGTATGATTCATTAAATGTGTGTGTAGTGTGATGACTGACCTGTGCCTTGTTTCAGGAAGTTCCTCTAGAGAAGCTTTTTTGTTCTCTGGCTCCCCATCCTCCTGTTCTTGTCCCTGTTAAAATATCATCATGTCATGAGTGATAGAACTAAACCAGCCACATTTAGGTAAACGCATGAGGAAAAATACTTGTTTTGAGCCCCAGTCATACGTTTTAACAAAAGAATAAGAACCCCTCCCATCTTAAATTTTCCTGAAGAGGGTTCCTCTCCACCTTTGAGAACAATTCAGGGGACTGACTCATACTTGGAGTTCAGTACAATTATAGGAAAACAGTTCCCAGCTTTAGGAATGTCAACAACTGTTGATCATGGCTAGTCGAGCCAGCACGCCTCAACTCAAAAACAGCTTAGTGAAACACATTGTAGAATAGCTGCCAGAACAGCAGCTTGCACCTTGAACAGGGTGTTTCCTGTTGAATGAGAATTCAGACTCAGAGCTGAAAGAGGATCACAGTCGAGCAGATTAACTGTGTATTGTGTAAGTAGTTCAACTCAGAAAGCCCTACTGAAACGCGGCCTGCTCTCAGTCCTGTTTACTACATGGTTTAAGACAAAAAGTGTGCTTTGATAAAGATATGACATTTTAATACTACAATTACCACTGGATTTAGCTCAGCACACATCTTGAAAACGACTAATAAGATAGAATTATTAGACACTTCATACACCTTACATTTTACTGCAGAGAAGTGCTATTAGGGCTGCTCAATTCATCGTATTTTAATCCCAATTACGATTATGGCTTGCAACGATAACGAAACAATGTAATCGAAATAAAACTATTTTTTTATTATTACTTTTTTTTTTTTTTTCAAATTACTTCTTTTTTTGTATTGGTTTTTCAGTTGAATTATACATTACAAAGTTCAGGGTAATCAACTGTTAAAAACATACTGTTCACATTTTTTTTCTCCAATAAATTGATGTTTTCAAAGTAAATGGATAATCGTTTTTAATAATCGTGATATCAATTATTGACCCAAATAATCGAGATTATGATTTTTGCCATAATCGAGCAGCCCCAAGTACTATTATTTTGGGTTGTTTTCTTGCTACTTGAAATAGATTCTTTATTTCATAAGCACCTTTCTTGCAACCGAGGTATCTACATTATTCCTGCAAATTCTCTGTTAAAGCTGTAAATGTTTTCTTTTCCGTTTTCTGACTAAGATTCCTCCATCTTCCCTCATACGTGTGTTTTGGACTGTGTGGCAGAAGGTGTTTTCTCGTGTTCATTGTTATTCAAATTAATCAGGTATTGTTAGACTACCTCTATTATTCCTACATCAATAATTCAGTCGGTGAGCTGAACGTTAATAGATAAATACTGGTTAGCTTTTGTTGTTTCCAGCTTCAGGAGTCTTGCAGATGATTCAAGTTGATTTATAAATCACCATGGTTGAGCTTCTAAATAAAACAGTTAGAAACAGACATATTTAATGATATTTAATGTTTGTGAAAAAGGTTGAAAAATTGATGTTATTTACAGTATTGGAATATCCATGGTGTCAGATTATCTCTCATTATCTTTACCCCATTATAGCTATCTGAAAAATCTCTCTCTATGCTCCATTGTACCCCAGAGCTTTATCATCAGAAGCAGGACTTTATATTGTGTGTCTATGATGAACTTTTATCATAAAATACTTTAAGGAGACAGCATTTTTAAATCAAATGATTCATATCACTTTAAGGCACCTTCATAGAATTGTTTAGCTTAACATCAACCAGTTGTCTTATATGCAAGGTAAACCAACTGCTGGATCAGCTCTAGTTTTACCAGTCTGTCGAGAAGCATACCACTTAGGTTGTATATATAAATACCATCAGGTGTTTGGTTGGCTGGCCAGTTTGAACATGTGCCTTCTGTTTAGTTATAGTATTTCACAGAGGATCAATACAATTATTAAACATACATACCGCGGGTGAAACCTTTATCTAAAGCTGATTATATTTTGGCAAAAGAGTTTATTGTCATTTGGGTTAATACATTTGTTATAGTTTTTAATCATTCAGGTTAACTAATATTTTGCTTAAATTTGAACTAAAACGTGAGTAACAAACTTAAAAGTCTCTGTTATTGTCTCTGAATAAAATACCAAACAAATTAGCCAAGAAACGGACTAATTCATTTAAAAAGTAGATAAATGTACAAGCTCAGTACTCCAAACATGTACATAAAGACTCCTAATAGCACAATAAAGACAAGAACTAAAGCTACTACTGATTTTCCAACTACATTATTAAGCTAACGTTAGCTTCAAGCTAAGTCGGCTAACGTTTCCTCACAAATGAAAGGTTTTATAGAGGCTATGTTGCATTTATCAGACACCAGGCATCACGACATGAGTCACTTACATGAATTTGTTTATCTCTTATTGCTTTTAACCTCTCTTTCCTCTTCAGGGCCTGCTCCTGTAGTGACCCAACATTCCGCTCCATGTTTATCTCTACACGCCGCTCAATGCTCTCTGAACTCCATTAAGGGTCCTGGCTCAGGATGTGAGAACGAGCTTCGAGCACATCGATTGCGGTGGCTTGTTGCCTTCTTATCATGTGATATTGTTACATTGAAAATAATCTTTAAAATCATGAATTAGATTCCTGAAATTTGAAGAATTAATATTTTAAAATCTAAAAATCCAACATAGAATAATGATATTTTACACATTTGTAACACAAACCATCTTATTAATGAGTCTAATGTGGAAGACCATGGGATAATATTTGAATTGCTTGACTTGTAATAGCTTATATGCTATTTTGTACTATTCAAACATACCTATGGACTCTGAGCAGAGCTATACATTGAGGGGACATACACTGGCACACTATCCCGCCTGTTGATGGTCCCACTGTCAGGTCCTGGATAGGAATGTAGGCCATCACCATGGTAATACAGCTGTCTCAAGCTTCATGGTATCCATCCTCCGAATTACCAAGTGTGTGACAAAAGGTGCTAACAAGGTAAAAGAACATTACACTAATAGCAAAATAATCAATTTGTGATACATGTTAATGGCCCAATAATAGACAAATAAACTGTTGTTATATGTTAAATATATGGTACCATAGATAATAGGAGAAGTTGTCTGTAAACACTCTGAACAACAAACACACCTCGTGTCTAGAGATCAAGTGCATTTTATGCTTTTGTACAATATCAAGCAACTGATACTTTACAGGGTACATAAAAAATGGCATATGCTTGTCATATTTAACATAGGCATTAGTATAAACTGGTAAAATATTATACGTTGTTAGACTTGGAGAAAAATCACCCAACAGCATTCAATGGTTGGGCCTTACTACTCTTGCAAAGTCTTTTAAAAATGTATAGAATTTATAGAAATCTTTATACTAAGTATATTTCAGCCATGTGAAGTTAAACTCAATTGATAATTAGATATGCTTTTTTCCAGAGAACTGTGTTTTACAACTTAGGGAGTTAAGCCAAGCACCACCTGTAGACCTTCTACTTTTTTTCATTATTAATTAAATTAATAGTTTGAATATATTCATATATTTTACTTTCAGTATAAATCAATGGTACCGGTCTCTCAGTGTTTTGATTAACAGTTTTCATCAGGAATATGAGACAAAAATACAAGCAATAGTTATTTCATACAGTCAACTAATGCAGCAGGAACCATCATTGGTAGCCTAGTTGATACAGTCTAAAGTTCACTTGTGTATGTGTTTATGTGTATTTGTGTGTTCATGTCTGTATTTTATCAGCACTAACTCTTGCCTGATTTGCAAAGACACAGCTTGATCCTCATTCTCCAGAAATTGCACAACAAGGTTTTTTCATTCAGAAAGCTATGGTACCTTGCACTGAGGTGTTCAACTTCTATTATGTCGTAATTACTGTAGCATATTAATAAAAATATTGTGTACATTTATTTATTTTTTGATGATTACCATATAGAAAAAACGTTTTATTAATGCATGTAGCAAGACTTCAACGTACCTTTGTCAGGTAGTTTAATGTTGTGTTTATGTGTGCGTGTGTCTTTAAGAATATCTGCCTACCTGCGAGCATGATCCACAGTCAACTCTTCAGTATTGTTCACAGTCAGACACTAGTTGATGATAATGTGCTCATCACAGGACTCTGATGACTGAACCCACAGTCGTTTCTTGGTGTTGAGCGGATGGCATCTGTCGCTTCCGTGGAAACTCTCTCCAACAGGAATCATACGGCAACAAGCTCGCTTTAAACGCGGACATGGGTGTTCCTCCAGGCATGAATTTCCACGCATTTTTGTTCCTGGTTGTTTAATTTCGACTGCGATCGCACCGTGGCTACATACACAGACTGTCATGTTTTTCTTTTTCATGCCACTCTGATAACTTTGCTCGTCGAGACAGAAAGCACTTTTGCGTGGATTATTGTGCCTGAATAATGGTTCCCAGGAGCGTGCTGCGTCCTGCTGCCTTTAGGAAACAACTTCAAACAGCGCTTGCTGTAACCATGCTTACCAGTTTCATGATTTAATAATATAAGGGATATGAGCAACGCCAAAGGCGGCGGGATGGCATCGAAGGAAAGACTGCACGAGCTGTGGATGTTGTATTACACAAAGGTGAGTGAAGTGTGGAAGACCTGACGGAGACACCTGTTGCAGCAGGTCCTCTGCGTGAAGTTATGTATGGAAACAATATGTTGATGTGTGTGAACTACTGCAGACGTGTATAATGTCTCTGACGTTTGTTTAAACAGTTAGGCTACATAAGGAAGTGGCTTATTTAACGCCTGTTTGAACAGCAGCTGTTTATTTACTAAGTGGTCGAGGCTTCACTGTGCACACTAGTACATGTCATATCATATGACTGTGTCCCTGAGCCATTTAATGTATGGAAATCCCTTAGTAAATATGTTAATCGAAGCGGATTAGCTCACTTAATTAAGTTTGCACCTGTACCTGCTATGCAGGTGTCACTGCGGCTACTTCCTGTTCCTGTTCCTGCTATTGTCGCTTCCTCAGTTAAGCATGAAACATCATTGGATTAATATTATAAAGCTTAATTTATATTCTCATTTGAGTTGGTGCCAGGAAGCCTATGCCTGTTAGACTATGCCTATTTCAATGAGAAATGAGAAAAAATATGTATATGAAAACTAAGATGGCATTATCCCTAGTGAAGCAATAGTTTTGTGTGATATTTTGGTCTTTCCTGTTGTCCCCTGTAGATGTAACTGCAACTTTTTTATTTGCTTGGTTATTAAGGCCCAACATCTCTGTAATAGGGAGACCAATTAGCTGAGAGTAAAAATATATTGTTGCCCTCATGACATTGTCTTCTCCGGATGGAGGAATACAGTTTGGCTGTGAATAACTTAAGTATTACTATTTAATGTGTTTGCAATCTGCTTCCATGCCTGAGGAAAGAGAAAACAAGATCAGACTTCTTTCAAATTTGCATGCACTGTATGTTCACTCTGGGGCATAAAGACTGCTCTCTTATTATCCCAGTGAATCTTAATGGCAACATTCTTTACAAAGATAAAGCCTAGTCATGTACAAGGACATTTTTCATTACATATAATAATTAAATGTTGCTTTAATTTACAGATTTGGTTCAGTTCCAATCTAGGAAACCATGCTATTGCTTTAAACAGGGCCAAAGGCCACGCTGGAAGAACTGCAAAATTCTCTAAATGCACGTGTGACACACCTCTTGCAGCATTTACTATCAAAGTGGTCATTGTGGTCACTTTGGGCATTTCCGAGGTTGTTTGTAATCCGCTGTGTTACAACTTCTCTTGTCAACTTGTGACTGCAGACTCACTTTGAGACTTTAATAAACATAACGAGTTGAATGCACTTTCACAAATAATCCGTGGTGTGTGTGTGTGTGTGTGTGTGTGTGTGTGTGTGTGTGTGTGTGTGTGTGTGTGTGTGTGTGTGTGTGTGTGTGTGTGTGTGTGTGTGTGTGTGTACTTGAAGGTGAGTCTGACAGCAGTGTTGTATGTGTGAGACAACTTCCTATTTAGCTGGCTCTCGGCTCTAAGTTTTATCAGTTGCCCTAAAAAATAAAGGAACCAAAAATGATAGACGTCTCTATCTGTCTGTCTCTCTTTTTGTTTTTTTAACTCATTTTCCATCAGAGAATGACACATAGATTTCCAGGCTCTCTTGGATGTGCATTTTTGCAAATGACCTGCCCTTATTAACAAGCTGCGATGAAGAATGGCACAAACAAGGGATTTAATGAAGCTGAACATTAAAGTGCACCACCTTATGTGACTCAGAGAGCACAAAGGCTGCACAAAGGCAGCAGAGCCACTTCAGAGATCATCTGCCTGTCCTATAGAATTTGAACCCAGGTAGCTGTAAATATATATGTCTCTTGATTCTCTTTTGATTATGTTTTTTACTGCATTCATCGGCCTCTGTATGTAGGCGAAATCCCGACAACATCTGTCCATGTTTGCTCAAATATGAACTTTGTTTAGACAAGCTATATCAAAAATCTGCGAAGCATCCTAACAGTTGATTCCAACATGTTTTAGTACATGCAGTACCTCAGACATCATTCTGTATTCGCAATAAGAAAGCATAACAAGCTCAGGCTTGTCGGTGATAAAGGAGCTCTGCTTCCTCCGATTGTGCAAGAAATCACACACCCCTTGCAAGATTGTTAGATCAGCGATGGCTCGGGGCTGGCAAGTCATTGTGATATAGAAGCGTCTTATACTCAAATCGGTCCAAGAGAGATGGATCTTTTGCAAAATTGAACCAACAGACTGACAGGCAATGATGGATACATTGATGATTTCCTAGATAAGAGCCTGTGTTACAGACAAGAATGTCGATTATTTGCTATAGTCGAGACACTATTGTTTGGATACACAATATAAACACATTTATGTCATCACATTGATCTATATACAACTGTATTGACAATGTAAACAACCAATGTTTACTCACTAAATGCTTCTTGGTTATCAGGTTTTTGCAGTCTTAAGTTAGGTGATAGCATACTAAGCAAGGCTCAGTGCACATCATTGTCTTTCATGTACTGGAGTTACAAACACACTTACTGGCAATTTCTATCTCATATCTGAGAATGCTTTCCAGACCATAATACAATGCTCATGCCTTACTGGTACGAACACAAATTAAAGAGTGTGATCTTATCGCTGAGGGAGTACCTTAACTTGTCAGATCGTGTCTGTAGAAAACCAGATGGGAATTCTTCTGGATAATAATACCGTTAGACTGCATTTTAACAAATGTTTATTTCAATGTTGTGTCATTATACAGTAAGCTGGTTGTAGAGTTGAAACTGGTGTTTTTCTTTTAACTTCTTACTTTGACAATGAATTTAGGTTCAGTTCTTAACTGTGATCCATTTAATGACGATGAATTGTGAAGTGCTTTTAATCTTAATGTGTCTGTTCTGAAACTAACTGCAAAAATAGCCAATTGTGTTTAGTTGACAATGGTACAAAAGTGAGAAAACATTAAGTGACTCAGATTGTAGAAGCAGGAACTAGAAATGTTCAATTATTTTACTGGATAAATGATAGATTTGGAAAACAGTTGAAACAACAAATCGATTGAATTAAGTTATTTTTCTTAAATAACCTGGTAGAAGGTTAAATATATTTTCAAACGCATCCTGAATTAAAATTGCGATTTTTGGCTTTACAGCTTTATTAACTTTTCAGTAAAATACTTTAACAATCCCTCGTTGAAGCTTCTCAGTTGTGAGAATCATAATTTATCTTTGTTGCATTTTAAAAGTCAGAGGATCATTTGGGGACTTGGACTTTTAATCAGAGAAAATGTGCTATTTAAAGACACCCACTTAGGCTGTTTTGGGTAGATATCTGCACATTTTTAAGTAAGAAGGATTTGTATGTGTGTCTACTGCCTAGAGATAGCTGTTCCAAGACGTATTGAGTTAAAGTAAAGACCCGCTGGAGGTAATAATCCTGGATTAAAGTGATAAACGAAGATGTATCCTTCCCAACAGTGGATACAGTAAGAGGAAAGGCTGGCAGAGGAATAGAGTGAGATTATCCTCACATCATTAGTATAAGAGACGGTTAGAGGGAATAATTAAAGCCTGTAGCGGTAGAGATGGACCACAGGGACAATCCGACTGCCACCCATCCACACCGCCATGAAACCACCCCCTCAGCTTGGATAGACAACAAGTCACATTTCCCGGCTTTGCTCGCCACACTGTCAGTCACCCAACTGTGTATTTGTCTCAGTTTCTGATCGTGGTATGATCCCCGTCGATATGAGAAGTGAAACAACAACAGCCACCCCTGCAGCTCTCTATTAAAGTCCTACGAGCCCTGGTATTGAATTCCCTCATGTGTCTCCGTCTCCCCTGTTTACCAACAGAGGGGCCAACCAGAAGAAAATCAAAGTGCTCTTTGCTTTCACTTGTGCAGGAAGCTGGAGCGAACAGAATGCCAAGCAGCAGAGAGCGGCACAGCTGCTTGGCCGTGTGCAGAGAAAACAGGGATAAATGGCACAGTTTATAGGGGTCGGTACCTCATGGTTGATCTGTGACATCTGGTCTAATAGTGGCTTTATCGAACAAATCCTGGAGCTAGCTGCGCTGAGCAAGGTTCAGTGAAAGCAGTTGAACTGAGATCGAAGGACGTGTATCTTTTCTGAGGTGTAATTTAGTAAGGGATGATTTTAGGCCCAGGGTTCAGACATAAAGCAAAGCACTGTGTTTCTTCTGAATATTTAATACAATTCCTCTGCTTTACTTCCTCATGGCAAACCAGATTCCCTTACTATTTAAAGTGAAAAATGTTGCTGTTGTAGTTAAACTCTGCATCTCGGGTGCTCTTAAACAACACAGCGTTACGTACACCTGCGTGGGAATGGAAAAAAATGAAGAATCCTTTCTCGTAATACTGAAAGCAATCTTTGCTTACTTAATTTGGTCATAGTCGGTGTAAAGATGGTGTCATCATCTCATAAAGAGTTGTTAACTGTGTCATTGTGAGTGGCAGTGGATGCAATCATAAGTGGTGTGTATACTCTGCAGGGTGTCATCATCATTAATACAGGAAGATTAATAAAAACCTGTTTGCATATACGCTGAGTGATGTTAGGGAGGATTCAGTCTTTTCAACTACTGAATCTATTAATGGAAAGTAAAACAAAGCTGAAGGAGTGTTTCAAATATGTCTCCATGTCCTTGCCTCACCTACTCAAGTTTTGAATACCTGATTATCAAGATGTTGGAGGCACCAAACAATAGGTTGTTCGTTTAGGTTTCCTGCTTTCAAACCGTACAGCCAGAGATGTTATAGTGTGTGTGTGTGTGTGTGTGTGTGTGTGTGTGTGTGTGTGTGTGTGTGTGTGTGTGCGCGCGCGACAACTTCAATACTATTATTATTATTTGTTCAATAATGATGTTTACAGGGTGAAGGCATATGAACTAAGCTTACTCTACCTAAAAATACAGTATTCTCTAATTATGACTTTCATTGTTTCAATTAGTCTCATTTGAGTCAGTCTGTGCATATATTCACTTTTGTTTCTCGTCTACATCTTTCTGTTCCCCTGAAAGCCCGTACACATAACCGATGCTTCATTGTTTCTGTGGGAAGTTTTTTATATTTTTTTTATAGACTCCTCCCTTTCTATCTGCCCACACTATAGTAGTAGCACCAAAAGAGGAAGGGGTTTGACAAGGAGGCCACGAGTGAAGGAAATAAGCTACAGTTAGAGTGTCATTTCCTTGTAACTTGTTTAACATTTGGAAGAGCAGAAAGGGGCGAGTCAGACGCTGGTGTTACTTTAAGTGGTGTGCAGCTACTGAACTGCCGGCTGGGAAATAAACTGAAGGCTCACCTGAGACTGGGTTCGCAAGAACCTGGCACCCTGCTCAGCCACATACAATGAGAGATGGACTTTCTCATAAGTCAATGCCAGTTGGTAATGTACATTTAACATTAATGCAGCATTGGAAAGTTGCAATATGTTTTCAGAGTTCACTGCATTAGATCTCCATTCCTCTAGAGGAGCCGTGGCAATTATGCACATCAAACATACATTGAGCTCCAGTTATGCACGCATGTTCTTTGTACTGCAGCAGATTTTAGATGAACCGATATGCAGCGGACTAAACAGTGATAATGTTTGACCTATTTGATTGTTGGCTTATGGGGAAGTTTATTGCGATATCATGTGTTGTTTGCTGTACATTATACTATTTGTGTACAATGAGTCAGTTAGACAGTCTGAAACAACTCATGTGTTCCATTCTTCCCGGCACTGCAGAAGCGGCCTCAACTATCAGCAGCAGTGGTTTCGTGCATACTCAGCTAATTCAAATATGCAGGTTGTTCAATCACACAGCACATCAAGGAACATGTCTGCATGTCCTGTCTTTTTCTAATTGTATTTGGAAACCCTGCGTTACCAGAAGAAGCTTGACTTGTCTTAATAGGCACAACTGATAAAGGATAATTTGGCTTTATATGAATAAATACAAATATCAAAGTAATTAAGTTTAAAGTTGTTTCTCTGGTGACCCAAGTGACATTTGGTGTATGTGAGATATAGAGACTGATGTGAGGAGGGAAGAGTGGCAGGATATGTTGCACTGCAGAGGCAGATCATAGCTGCGATAACGCCGTCTATGTGTAAACATCCTCTCATTAAATAGTCTTAATTGATTCTATAAGGACGCATTAAAGCCAGAATGTCTCGTGTATAACAATGACATGCTTACAGTAAGATGTTGTTTTTGTTCGTTGACAGCTATATGCAGAAATTACGGAATGTTTGAACCGATAGACTTAAAGGATAGGAACATTTCTTTTGACCTCCCTGTTATGAAAAGGAAAGAATTGGCGCGTGTGTTCCTCTGTGAGTTATATCTCTTTGCAACATCCTGTTACAAAAACAGGTCACAAGGGTAGTGCCATGTCTTCAGCTTCTGTCTGTCACAGTTTGAAGCTTAACCTATTTAGAGCAGCAACTTAACAACCGAGCATAAGCACAGAACATGCTCCATTGATACTTATAGTGTCGCTGTGCACATTTTTCACATTGCATATTTACAGTGCATGCCTGCAGGCGTGAAGGCCTCATGTGTTCTTTCCTCCCTCCTGCAGAAAGACGTAGGTTATCTGCAGCAGTGGCTGGAGGCGTTTGTGGCGTCCTTTGAGAGACTCGTTGATGTGCAGTCACTGGAGTCGCGGAGGTGAGTACTAACAGTTATTTGTAAACTTCTAGTTCCCACCAGTTTAAATTCCCCGTATCAGGGTGAACACGACCTTCTTTGAGATACCATTTTGACATGTTTATGGTATGTGTAAACGCAGCCCCTATTACAATGCCCTTTGCCTCCTCCTCTCCCTTCTCCAGGCTGGAGGAGTGCAGCTCCGAGGTGCCCATGCTTTCCAAGGAGGTCCTGGTGCTCCTTGGTAAACAGCTATGGGAGAGTGCGGACCACCTCTCAGACCCCCCCGAGTCCAACGGCACCCTCCCTCACCCCCTGCTCATCATCAAGTTCTTCATCATTGTCTGCAGGTGAGGACTCAGCCTCCTGTGTATACACTTCTTCATCGTGATCATGAACAAGCTAGACAGAAGAACTGTGTTCAATCAAATACAGATGTTTATAATTAAAAGTCTCCAGCTACAGGTTCTTTTTCATTCCTTCCATATTTGTTGTGGTTTTACTTGAAGTAATATAAATCAGCCTGTTAGACATATATTTAGGGATGAAATAACATTTAGGCATGTACTTGGCACGAGACTAAATTCTGAAAATGTACCTAAAATGTTTGTATGTAATGTGTAAAATTAGGTCATTTTGTCTTAACCCTTCTCAATTTCCTTATTTTAAATGTTAGCTCTGTTTTAATAACAAAAGAGACAATGGTGCCATAAGGAACTGGATGTATGACAGTTTTTTAACTTTTCCAGAAATTGCAAGCAGGTTGTGAAAACAGGCTGCAACTTAGTGTCAGGATGTTCCCCCTGATGTTCTGAGCGTCCGTTGTATGTGTCTTATATTGGGTACGCATCATCCTTAACACTCAATTTCACACATTTCTCTCTACTTCTAGGAATATGGAGAACATAGACCCAGACAACACCCCTAGTTTTGTTTTTGAAACCATCAAGCTTTTGAATGTCTGTTTAAGCCAGGTAAGGCCAAGATAAACTTTACCTCAAGCAGGAAACAGATTTCATTGATTTATGACGGGGCTTAGCTCCAATGTGAGCTCACTATATCAATCATGCAAAGATGATTTGGTGCCCTTGTAGACACTCTGTGCAGAAAAGTGATATACAACAGAGATACACTAAGCCTATACAGAAGTAACCAAACTTGTTTACACTGAAAAGAGAAATGGACGTGTAGTCGACCTTCTATTCATTGAACTGGAATGTGTTGTATTTATTGTATGTTATACGAACAACAGATACATATGAATCTGTGTTGAAGAAGAATTACAAAGTAGGTGTCCAAACTTTTATTTTCTACAGCTTAAGAAGGGCGAAGGGGAGCAGTCGTCTCTGGAGATGGTTGTGCAGTATGGATTTGTGCTGTTTGAGAGTCTCTTTGACCCTTATCAGACGTGGAGGAGAGGCCTGGCAGGGTGAGTGTGTGCTGCCTACTTTGTGAATGTGTGGGAGGTGGAATTTAGCCACACAAAGACCCAAATACTGTTTGATGCATTTGGCATCTTGCCCAACCTTTCTGTGATGTGTAACACCCTGTCTTGTTGCTTGTAAGAATTGAAGTCAAGCCTCATAATGCCAGCAGTATTAGTGGCAGTCGTTGACTAGGCGTGATGTGAGTCAGTGCAGTGACTCGAGGCTTTGTGTGTTACAGGGAGGAGGTGAGCCTGCTGGAGAGGAACAAGTATAAGTTCTCCCCGCTGGTCTTGCCAGAGGAGCTGTCTGCCCTCTTCCATGGTGAGATACTCCCCTTCGTCCGCTCTACCACACTGATCTCTGTCAGACCTCATATACCACAAGAATCCAAATGTTCCCACTGCTGCCTAAACACAGCTTTAATCTGTCATCTTTGACATGAAAAACCCTGACCTTTTGTTTTCTCCCAATCACAATCTCTGCCATGTTTATTATAATGAAAGATTACTGGTCAGTGCAGCCAGTGAGACCTTTGGGCTGAACACTTTAATTATTCACCATCTAATTATCAAGTTTCAATCTCCTGAGTCCAAGCGTTTCTAAATATAAAAGCCCATTTGATCAGTTAGTAATCTATAAATCATGTGGGGAAATCTCAGCCTGGGCAAGTTTCAGTATGCCCACATTTTAGGAAGATTATCCCATAATAGCAGCGTTTAATTAGAACTGTAGAGAGCTAATTGTGCAATACCTAGCCAATTAGCAATACCTAAGCTTCTGTTTTTCATGTAATTCCCAAGTACAGAGGTGGCATAGCAGGGCATGTTCAGCCATTGTACCACGGACAAGTGACATTTATTATCCTTATGATAACAAACAATACAAAAGGTACACTGTATGTGCATGTTATTTTAACAGCACTGTATGAATGGTTGCTGTATTGTGGTTAAGTGATAAGTGAAATACGTTTTTTTTTTTTTATAACTTTGTTTCTTGATCTGAATGTCACAGAAAGTCTGCAGGAAAGCGAGAAGCTACCAGAGGTCATCACACTAAGATTTGTCCATCTCCAGGGCGCTATCATCAGCGGAGGAAGGGTCTGCTTGCCTTTCTTTCCTCTTCATCAGTTTTTATTATGAAACACTACAAGATAGATAGATAGATAGATACTTTATTGATCTCAATTTAGGAAATTCTTTCATCACAGAAGCAGAAGTGTGTTCAGACTGTATAATACAATACTTAAAATACTTTTAAAAAGTGGTAAAAGAGAATTAACAATCAAAAACAAAACGAAAAATATTATATATGAACATAAACAAAACAATATAAAATATTCTGGATAATTAATATAAAAAGTCAAAAATACAGCAGGATCCAAAATACTACAGGTATTTGGCAATTTCAAACTGATTACAGGGGAGTGACTTTGTCCATATGATTTTCTTACAGAAGAATGGCCTTCTCTCCATCACCCCTTCCTCGGTTGAGGACCTGTTCTCTGTTCTGAGAGTGTGGTGCTGCCGGGCCTCGACAGAACCCAAGAGCACTTCTCTCTCCCGGCTGACGCTGCAGTGCCTGACGGCGATGATCCACCTGCTGCACGCCAGCAGCCCTGCTGAGCGGCAGCTGGAGATCAGGACCATACTGGAGAGCTACTTCCAGCTGCTCAACTGGAACCGTCCTCTCAGCAGTGAGCTGCAGGAGAGGCAGAACTGGGAGGAGAGCCTGATCTCTCTCCAGCGCCAAATGCTAAGTAAGATAGGATAAGATAAGAAGTACTTTGTTGATCCCAATTTGGATTTGTTTGCGTTGCAGCAGCACAAAAAGACAAGGCATTGTACATTTAAGAAATGAAAAGACTAGAAATAAACAATCCAAAATGTAAACATCTCAAATAGAAATACAATAGCATTAAAAAAAAGTAGAAAATATACATGTGGAAATACAAATGTACAGTAACAAAATATAAAGCAGGATATTATATATACATTAATTGTGTAAAGAATGGATTATTAAATATGAAATTGAATATAAATGTAAAATGTACGAAGGGAGTTTAAGTCCAGTTATCCAAGAGAAGCTATGGAGCAGAGAGTTCTCTTCCAGCCAGAGGTGATTTGTTATACAGAGTTATTGCAGTTGGCAGGAATGTTTTCCTGCATCGGTCCTTGTGACAAGTAAGAGCAGGACTCAAGGCTAGCTGAGCATTCATATTTTATATCTCTTAATCAGAATGGAGGCCAAGTCATCGATTTCCCCAGTGTCTGAAATATAGTCCACATCCTTCTTGTTGTCAATTCTAGCTGCTGTCCCTGAGATCCTGCAGTGCCCTGACAGGCCCGTCCTGCAGGCTGTGTTCCTCAACAACAACTGCTTTGAACACATCCTCAGACTGGTTCAGAACAGCAAGGTCAGAACCCTGCGCATCTTAAATATGTCTGTTCTGTCAAATATTTGTTTTGTTTAAATGTCATGTCTATTTCCTCTTTTATTTGCCTGGTTGCCCTAATGCTGTTTTACTGCTTGGTCAATGTGAAATATCCCAAAAATGTTAATGCTTTCAGCTTATATTTCCCCTCACGGTTACAACACATGTTCCTCGCTGCAACTGTAGAGAAACCTGGATCAACTTTGTCTCTATTACCTTTGACAGATGACTGTTTTGTTTAATTGTCTGTCTTTCTGTGTTGTGTGTGTGTGTGTTGTGTGTGTGTTGTGTGTGTGGCTCCGTGTGTACATCCTGCAGCTCTTTCAGAGCAACATGCTTAGACCGGATCGTGAGGTTGTGTGTGACCTCACTACTTGTTTACTCACAGAGCTCGAAGTGGACCAGGTACTTCCCCCCCCCACTCGGTTTTGATATTGGTCTGTCAGCAGGAAACTCAGCCTTCTCTCCACACGTTAACTGCTCTGAGCTATTTAAACAGGAAACTTGAAGCAGGAAGTCTGGCTTACTCTCGTTTTGTAAACAAAGCAGGTAGAAGACTATCGGTCATTATTGTTGTTTAGAATTCCCTTTTTAATCTTTCATATTGGGCTATCTGTCCATCTAGAATATCCACTTACAGCCTTTATTACATGTGTTATTTTGGTCCATTGAATCCAACTTTAAAAATATACAATCAAGTTGGCATTAGTTTTGAGCACAAGATTCAAATGATTAGTTGAGGGATTCATCTTTGCTAGTGTTGGAGAGTCGATTTATATAACATTCACAATTAGAGGCTGAATTTCTTGTTGACATCTAAAGGGAAAAAGAGCATGCTGAGTGTTTCTTGGTGCATGCATGAAATGGTGGTTTTACAATGAGCATGTCTTTCCTTCTACTCTTCTAAGACCTGGCACAACCTGGTGTGTTGATGTTGCTTCATTTGTAGCAATACTGGGGATCTCCCTGAATTTCTTTTATTTGTTACGGTGGTTGGCTTTGGATTTTGCATGTGTGAATCTATCATTAATTAACAAAGAGGCAATTGTTTAGTGACTGATACAGCAGTGCACTTACCCATTCTGCTCCAATAATTGTTGTTTAGAAGAAAAAAAAAATGAAATGAGCTGCACTTCCCCTTGCACTTAATGCAGATAATCATTCATTCATTTGGTGAAAGATTTCTTCAATGTTGATGTATTTGCTTTCCTTCTTGGTGCTGTGCAGTTGGAATGTTCACCTTTTCCGGGCTTCTGATGTCAACTCATTATGATTCACGTTTGGAACTCTGCCTCATTCAAAACATTTGTAACACAATCCTTATTCTGATGTAGGTTTTGGAGAAAGGATCAGACAGTATTACAGTTCATGCTCTAGGAGTCCTCACAGCTATAATGAATAACTCACCCTCTGCTAAGGTAAGGCATCTTTGTGGTCAAATCATACCTCCCTAATAATTCTTTACATGTATTTTAAAGCTTTATTACATATGATACAACCTACAATCCCAGATAAAGTTAGATCCTGATGAGGAAAGCTGGTTTCCGTTCATTTAAGAACTCTCATTGTATTCCCTTGTATGGAAGTGTGCCAACTAGTTATCCCCTGAGGGGCAGCTTTCACCAGCCTATTTCTGCCTCATTTCCCCACAGGAGGTTTTCAAGGAGAGGATTGGTTACTCGCAGCTGTTTGATGTGCTGAAGAGTCAAGGTCAACCCACCAAGAGGCTTCTGCAGGAGCTGATGAACATGGTAAAGCACACAGCACTCATTATCCCCACTGAGAGACAGTAGATGCCAATTAGCTGTTATGGATGACCATGTTCTTATTTAAAGTTCACCTATTATGCAAAATTCACTTTTTCATGTCTTTTATACATAAAAAGAGATTAAGAGATTCTGAAAGTATCAGGAAAAAAGATTCTCTCTCTTTTTGTCCTGATGAGCTGATCAGATTTTGGCCACTTTATGATGTCATAAGGTTTTTTTGAGTTGTGTAACCATTAGCCAGATAACCGACCTAGGTAACACCCCTCACCTTATCACCTGAATCTCCTCCTAGGGCAGGGTTCCCAACCTTTTTCCCCGAGAGCCCCCCCAAATTACTCCTGTTGGAAGTTGCGCCCCCCCCACACACACACCCACACACACACAAGGGGGGGGGGAGAACAGACAAGGCAACAGCGGTAATTCAAGTTTAAAAGTCGCAAAATGCTACAACTACTGTCTCAAACTAGATGAATGTGAAGCATTTTGTTAAAGGAGGATGAAAGCGTAATTAAGGAGCACTATTGGAGTGACTTTGATGGTTATTGGACTCAGGCGCGCCCCCCAGGTTGGGAACCTCTGTCCTAGAGCAACATTGTGTTTTTTTTAACCAAATATCTCACAGAGGGGCTTGGGGAGTGGCATCTTATTTTCATCTAAAGTAACAGACACAGAATCAGCACTTTTGAAACAGGGCTGAAACAGAGGGGATTATGGGATGCTACAATGCATGATCTGTTTGGTATTTGGAGCCAAACACTTCAGACACCTGTTTTGACCTATAATATATTGATGAAAAAGAGTATAATAGGGGACCTTTAAATGAAGTTGTTATTGATAATGTGACCACATATCATCTTCATTCTCTGTCTTCACTCTTTTTTTCCAGGCAGTGGAGGGTGAGCATGCCCACGCCCATCACCTTGGCATCAGTAACGACCAGCCTTTGCTGCTGCTCCTGCAGTGGCTCCCTGACCTGTCACGTCAGAGGGACCTGCAGCTGCTGGTGGCCCAGTGGCTGGCCACCGTCTGCGGCGGCTCCCTATCCTGCCGCACCGTGGCTGTCGAGGCGGGCATGGTGTGGGCTCTGCTGCAGGTGCTCTCACAGCCCCAGAATCTGGACAGGCAGTGTGCAGACGCCCTGCTGGGCCTCCTGCAGGACCTGGGCTCCCTGTGTCTGAGACCTGAGGAGCTGAAGGGCCTGCTCAGACTGCTCAGAGTGGATCAGGACAATGGCGCGGTCGTGGGGAAGGTGCACCCCTACTGCTCTCGCGTCATCCAAGTGCTCTCGGCCATAGCGGCCAGAGAAGGCCAGGACAGTGCCTTGCAATACTTTGACCTCACGCCCCCCATGGCTGGCATCATGGTGCCCACAGTCCAACGCTGGCCAGGCAGCGGGTTTGCCTTTCACGCCTGGCTCTGCCTCAACATGGAATTCCCGTGTCATTCAGAGTCCTCTAATCACCGCAAACCTCGTGCAAACTCTGTCACAGGGGTTCAGTATGACATGGGAAAAGGACCCCGCAGGAAGCAGCTCTACAGGTAAAGAGAAGTTAAAGTGCGTGCTTTTATAAATAAGATGTCTACGTTGCACAATTTTTGACCGAAAGTATCGTTTTAAAGTTTCTTCACAGCAAGTGGAACGGGGCTGGAGGCCTTCTTCTCCATAGAGGGAGTGCTGGTGGTGGCTGTCTGCACTAAGAAAGACTACATGGCTGTCACGCTGCCAGAGTACCCACTATCAGACTCATGCTGGGTGAGTTTGGACACACATAGTACAGTAAGGATATTAGCCAACATGTGTCCTTTTTTAGCCTGTCCCAAATACAAATACATTTGATCAAGGAGAAAATAACAAATCATTTTCTAAACGGTGCTGTCTTGGCCCGTAACCTTGAAGAATAATCACTAAGAAATAGAAAAGTGCACCTTTTGAAGGAGATGGAGAGGTCTATCATTAGGTTAAATGAAAGCTGTCAACTGTCTGGAGACTATGTTGCTCCTTTAGTTTCTCAATACATAAATGTACCTAATTTAATCATCATCACCACAGCATTCAGTGGCTATAGTCCACATCCCAGGCCGTCGTCCGTTCGGTCAGAACCTGGTCACCATCTACATCGACGGAGAGCAGCGTAAAACTGCTCCGCTTCGCTTTCCATCTTTCAGTGAGGTAACTGACACTACTATCTAAATGATCCTGGCAATGGACCTAATATTAAAAAATAGTTCCCCTCTATTAATCTGACTTCCTATTTTTCTCCCCCAACTTGCCACCTGAAGCCTTTTACTTCCTGCTGCATCGGATCTGCGGGCAACCGGACCACCACCACCACCACCACCACCTCCCCCAACCTGCCCATGTCCTCGTCTTCTAACCCATCGACGCCGGAGTTTTCCTTCCCCCCCCATGGACCCTCCCTTATCCGTTCCCAGTCCTTCCCAGCTACCTTTGCAGGGGGTCGCTGGGGGTCTTTGAGAGAGACCGCAGTGCACACCATCCCAGCAGGACTGCAGGACACAGAGTGGGGAACCCCCACGTCTCTGGATGGGCTCCTGGGCACCGCGTTCATCTGCCACGAGGCTCTGCAGCCGGCACAGACCAGAGCTCTGCACGCTGCAGGTATGTCACGCTGTGCAACAATGAAAATGTTGTTGTAAACATTTTACACCTTCAAAATGTTACGTTTTCAGATCTTAGCTCTTCCAGAGTTCACCAAACAATCTAATGTAAAGAAAACCAATACTAAAGTAAATCACAGAATTCCCCATAGGATTCTTATTTTCATGCATACCAAACAACGTTTGCATATTTTATGACCTACATTTGTTTTTGCTCCACATCACAGGCCCGAATCACGTGTCCTTATTCAAAGCGGAGGGAGAGTTATCTGATCTCAACAGCAAGCTTCTTCTGTACTACACTCCACAGGTGATCCATTGAACCATTTATAACACTGCTTGTATTATGTGAATTATAAGCAACGCCAGTAAAATATACTTGTTTGCATGCAACTGTTTGTTTTTTGCAGGCCTTCAAGAGCCAGATATGTCTGGACCTGTCGCCCAATCACCTATATGATGGCAGGCTCACAGGACACAGTGTAGTGAACTGGGACATCAAGGTTAGATGTGACACAATTAAATAGAGAGTGAGAAGTGAATCAAGAGAGTGAGAAGTGAAATATCAGTCATGACCTGTCTCCATGTTATTTTTGCTTTCTTGTTTCCCTTTTGGATGGTCAATTCAATTTCTAATTTAAAGTGGACCTATCATGCTATATTTGAATAATATAGTGTAGGACCATACCTATATAAGACATATTTATACTTTTTATTTTTCAAAATACCAAACGGATCATGCATTTTAGCCATTCCTCATTTCGCTCAATTTAACACTGTCTTTGCATGGGCTGATTCTGTGAGAACAGCACCATCTACATGTACTACAGCGTCTCCAGCGCTTTCGAATGGCAATGTNGATGAAAAGGGTGTTATTTTTACTTAATTATGAATGTTGTTACATCAGGGCTGAAAATTCGTTTTTTTGTATTATATTTCCATTTAATCTTGTGGACGTGCAGATTCCCTGTCCTCCATCAGGGGGTGCTGCAGCACCCTCAGCACCCCTACTTCCCACGGCCCTGTGCACACTGCCGTTCACAATTGTTCATGTAACAATATAATATACATTATAACAGCAGAAATGTAATTGCTTTGGGATACTCACATATTGCATTAGTTATCTCTGTTATGAGTCAGTTAAACACTTCTGGAGATGTTGGACTGTATGAAATTATAATGTTTGCGGGTTAGTCTATTCTCACTGTTTTCCAACAATTCCTTTTTTGTTTTTAGGGCATCACTGAGACGACCACAGCAGCATCAACAACAAATACAATGAGCCCAAGAAGTGAAGCAACATCAACAAGCGCACCTCCAACCACTTCATCAACAACCCTTGCAACAACAAAGAATCGTGAGTTTGAGCCCCTGCCCTTTATCTCTGTCTGTATTGACTTGTATTATAGTGCAGACTTGTATGAAAGCCCATTATAATGTCATTTTGTCTCACACTGAATTCTTCTGCTTCAAATAATCGGTCAACTCTTTGTTTTCTTAGCTCCTGCAAATGTTGAAAATGTGAATGTGATCTCACAAACTGAGGGCAGTATAACTCTGATATGGAAACAGGTTGAAACCACCATTTCAACATACTTCCTTGAATATGAAAACAAAGGTAACTACAAGGAGGAATTTATCAACGCAACTGCAGAAGGGACATCAGTAACACATGTAGTTACTTCTCTGAAGGATGCGACAAAATACAATTTCACTCTCATCACTTCGCTTAACGGAATCAACAGCAGTGGATACAGATTTGAAGCTGTCACTGGTAAGCAATATTACATTTTGAATCAGCATTTGATGAAATGCACATTTAAGATAAATTGCTGTATTTATTCAAATGTATCATAATTTTCACGCACTTTCGTATTTAGCATCAGAGCAATATCTAGAGACATGACATACTTATATTAAGAAGTTTTAAAATGATCTTTACATCCCAGCTCCCCGTAATGCAGAAGGTTTCCGAACAGTTACACAAACAGAGACCAGTATAACTCTGCGGTGGGACAAAGTTGACAATATCCTCAACTATATATATATATATATATATCCTAACTATTAAATGTTCTCATTAACTGGGGGGTGTTGCTCACTTTACACATTTGACTGTTATTGATAAAATACTGGAATTGAATGCGCCTTATTTGTTTGAGGAAAGGAACTACACCAAATACAAAGTTTTATACAGGAAATTCTGTCATTTTTTAAATCTTTTCGTGTCATTTTGTGACTGTTCCTTCATCATGTTTCTTTACTCCCCAGCTCCTCGTAATGCAGAAGGTTTCCAAAGAGTTACACAAACGGAGACCAGTATAACTCTGCGGTGGGACAAAGTTGACAATATCCTCAACTATATACTCAATGGAAAGGAGATTAATGTCCCTGCATCAGATAAAACTGAAGTGGAATACACAATCTCAAATCTCACAAATGGAACTAAATACAACTTCCAGCTCTTCACTGTGTTTGAAGATGTCAGAAGCTCTGGAGTAAACCTCACTGCAGTCACAGGTAAGATGTTTGAACTCTGATACAGGCAAATATAACATGTAAATGAAAGTTTCTCATTAACTGGGGGGTGATGCTCACTTTACATATGTGACTGTTATTGATGACATACTGGAATTGAATGCAATGTATTTGTTTGAGGAAAGGAACTACACCAAATACAAAGTTTTATACAGGAAATGCTGCCGTATTTTTATCCTTTCGTCTAATTTTGTGACTTTTCCTTCATCTTGTTTCTTTAATTCCCAGCTCCCCTTAATGCAGAAGATTTCAGATCAGTTGAACAAACAGAGACCAGTATAACTCTGGGGTGGAAAAATGTGGATGTAACCTTCAACTACACACTTGTGTTCAATGGAAAGGATATTAATTTCACAGCATCAGATGAGACTGAAGTGAAACACACAATCTCAAAACTCACAAATGGAACTAAATACAACTTCCAGCTCTTCACTGTGTTTGAATATGCCAAAAGCCCTGGAGTAAACCTCACTGCAGTCACAGGTAAAATGCTTTCCCTCTGATACAGGCAATTATAACATGTAAATTAAAGTTTCTCATTAACTGGGGGATGTTGCTCACTTTACATATTTGAGTGTTATTGATACAATACTGGAATTGAATGCAACTTGGTATTTGAGGAATCCTTTCCTCAAATACCAAGTTGCATTCAATTCCAGTATTGTATCAATAACACTCAAATATGTAAAGTGAGCAACATCCCCCAGTTAATGAGAAACTTTAATTTNGGCTGAGAAAAGATAAGGCTGAGTGTGTGTGTGTGAGGAGCTCCGCGGATTGGTCCATTTGGACCTGGGTATCGTTACGTCACTGTACTCAGGAAGAAAAAAATGGAAAGAGAAAAATCTCCAACGAGGCGTTCTGGGGCAGCATAGACAGGTATTTTCTGTGTTAGAGTTTTACTCGCTACAGGGTGTACTTTGAGGGTGTGTGACTTTGCAGACGGTTTACATGCATAAAAAGCTACATAACACACAAGGGGACGGGTAATAACCGGAAAAGCATGTCATGGGACCTTTAATAATTGTATTTTATTTCACCTGTATAAATTATGATATGTTGTTATCACAATACTAATGTCAAATTACAACATTTCTTGGAAGACACACCATTTATTGTTTTGCACAAAGTGAACGCCACCAGATCTGACTGGACTGAAAAGTGTAGTTCATCAGTAATCTAAATTCCACTTGTGTTGAGTATGTATGGAATACTCCTAATGTCAGATTCAGTACTGCAAAGTGAAGTCCCACAACCTCTTCTGTCTAATTAATGCTGTACAAAAGATTCCCAAAGCGGTGAAGGTTTTACCATTCACCTCCAGACACAACAAAACAAATCAAAGGAATAGTTCAACTGTTTTGAAGATAGGCTCTCTTGCTAATTAGGTAAGACGATGTTATGTTGGGTGCGTGATATACCTTTTCACTCCACAGGGTGTGGTTGTCTGTACCCTCAGCAAACAGGAAGTCCTGCAGCAGCCTGAGGAGGCGAACCAGGCTGGGACAGAAAGGCAGGGTCACGCCCTGAGCCTCCCTCAGGTCTGACAGAGACGACTCCAGCATCATCTCCAGCAGACTGGAACAAAAGTGGAAAACAGGATGAGCTAATAACCCCAGTGTGTGATAAAACAATATGTCTGGATAATTACACTAAAAGGTGACACAGCCATGGGCGTGGTTCACTGTATCTTTCCATTGTGAGACTGCCATTCCAATGTGTTTGTGAGTGGCAGTACATTTGAATTCACCGTCACTGACCTGCGTTTGATGTCATCAGGAGGGCGCACCAGTTGGCAGGAGGAACCCAGTTTGGTGAGAACAGAAAACACCTGTCCTCTCTCTCTCCAAACCACATCCTCCGACGCCTCAGGCCCGCTGCGGCTCCACAGCACCGAGAACACGATGTTGGTCAGCAGGTTGCACAGCTCCTCTTCGGGGGTCTGCTGAAATGCAAACAACACTCAAAATCCTTAGAAAGAGATCAAAGACAATAAATGCTCATAAAAATGACAAATAATAGGTTTGATATCCATAACATCTGCGCTAAGGGAGCTACCTGTGGGTTGGACGTATTTGAGATGGTGTCTCCAGTTGGAGGGTCTGTCCCATAGCTGGTGTCATCCAGCACGTTGGACAGACTGGAGCTCTTCCTGGGTCTGGCAGGTGGGAAAAGTTTGCAGTTCTCTAGAGGAGACGGTGTGTTTGTCAGGCTGCCCGCAGGAGTGTGTGTGCCGTTATCTCCCATGCCCCCCAGATCCAAATCAAAGGGGGTACCAAAGGGGGAAAGCGGCTGGTAGTCTCTCCCTTCATCATCAGGGCGAGAGGAGGTGATATCAACGGCATTGGAGATGGAGGACGAGTGGCTCACCTGGTCCACTGAATCAAAAGACTTAAAATGAAGGGAGCCGGTGAAGTTTTTAAGCGTTCCTCCACTCGGAGGAGACTGGGATAAATCCGAGAATCCCTCAGAGATGTCTCGCTGACCACTTTCATCCTCCTCCTCTTCCTCCTCCTCCTCCTCCTCCTCCTCTTCCTCCTCCTCCTCCTCATCCCCGATGTCCTGCGAGGTGCGGTAGTTCAGGAACATCTCCGGGTGAGCGTCCTCGATGACCAGAGACTGCCCCCTGTGCAGCGGAGGCCGGAAGTTGGGCTCGAAGGAGGTGTGGTTGCTGGATCCTGCGATGCTGGCAGCGTGTGACTCGTAGGACTCTTTCACATACAGCTTGGTGAAAACATCCTGCCAGCCCGGCTGCTTAGCAAGCTGCTTCACATAATCCTCATTGGAGTAGATCAGATGAAAGATCTGGGGGGTTAACAGAGAGGAACAGAGGAAGAGATTGTTTTTATTACGAAGAGCATGGTTGTGCTTGATGTTACTTTTGCACTCAAAAGATGACGATGACAGTTTGAAAGTGTATAAATTAAAAGAGAGAAGACTGACCTTGCGGCAGACGTCTAAGCGGACAGTGAGCTCAGCTCGGTGGGAGAGACAGACGACAGCCAGGAGGTCTCTGAAGTTCGGGGTTGCATCTGTGGGGCAGCAGAACATTTAATTAACTTACACCTAGAAAATACTTTTTAAAAAATCAGCTTCCTACTATAAGTGTTGGGATCCTTCATAAACTCACTTATTACCGAGTGATACTTATCAAGATATTTGAGATTTTTCATCGTTGCATCGTTTAATTATATCATGGTACCATGGTTTAAAAGGGAAAACCTACAGGGTTGCTGTTCCCTGTTTCTTGAAAGTTTCCTGCACAACCCAGATCCTCTAAAATAACTATTTAATTTAGTTTATTATATAATGGGAAAATCAAGAAAAATGTTATGGTCCTTTTCAGGAAAATAATAAATGGATTTAATTATGAACTTATGGAAATAAAGTGTAAATTAATTCAACAAATACAATCTTGAGAATCAGACCTGATGAAAGCTTTTATGGTAATACAGATTCTGTGAACAGTGAAAAACAACTGTCAATACAACTACTATGTTTATGAATTAAACCCTTTCGTTTTTATTTTTTTTAATTAGGATATTTTTTCGTGACAGTTTTTTTAATGTTACTGAAAAATACTTTGAAATCAAATGTTCAGTAGCTCTAGCATTTAAAGACGTCTCTTTTATCATCCATTTCTAGCTCACTCGACCACAGAGCACTGAGCTGCTTTGACGTTACCTGTAGCAAGGACCTGCTCGTAAAGACACCGCACAGTAGTCATGGTGACGGGAATCGTATCCATGAAACAAACCAGGCCAAGATATCCAAAATCCTTGAGCTTGATGCGCTGCTTGTTTCGCTCAGACACTCGCTCGCTTTTAAGGATTTTGTATAAAACCTGCAACATGGAAGGGGAAATTGTGCAACAGTGGTTGTTACTTCAGTTCTGACGATATATCACATGGGAGCTTGCAGTAAAAGGCAACACATCTGCCAAGTGATAAACTGAAGTATTTTAAGAAGAGGTTAGGTCAGTGTTTCTCACCCTGAAGACCCTCTCTCTGGCCTCGTCTCCGAAACTTGGAGTGAGCAGCAAGCAGTACAGCTGCTCCACCCCCCACTCCAGCAGCACGGCCTGCACCTGCTCCTGGGGGGGGCTGCTCCGCAACAGCTCGTACAGCACGTCCAAGGCCCTCACCACCTGATGGAGAGGAGACATTCATGAGGAAAGGGTCAAAGAGGAGGATAAAACACCAAGAAATATGGATTTAGGGAGGGTAACATTTTAAGTGGTCACATAAGGAGTTTGTAAGTACATAGATGCCAAAACATGAGGATCTATCAGCTGGATGATCAGGGAGAGTTCATTGGAAGTGAAATATTAAATTGAAAAGGTCAGAAGATAACAAAGTAAACTCCAGAAGGAAACACAGAAATAGAACATACCTGCTTCTCCTCTCCGACAGACACAATGTAGGCGAGGACAGTGTGAAGCTCCTTTTGAGTAGGAGACTTTAGAAAGTCTTTCAGCAAGGCGAAGAGAGACGTTTGAATCGTCTGCTTTTCATCGGACAGAGGGCTGCCATCTTTCTCCACACTACGAGCAAAAATAAATAAATCAATGATCTCAGTCTGCATTCATGTGAAAAGAAATATGGTTGAATATGAAAAAGTATATTTAGACGTACTTTTAACCTTTACAAATATATTTTGGTGGACATCTCATTGTATCTTGAAACCATGTGTTGAATTTATTTAAGTGCATGTCAAAGGTTCACCTGTAGTATGTGCGAATTGTTTCCAGAATATATTGGACTCCGTACTTCCTCTTCATTCGCTGCTTGCCTTTGTTAAGCACAGACACCATGTACTGCACGTGGGCTTTGGAAGAAAAATAAGACTTTTGTCATTTCTCTCCAATTTGACATTTAGAAATGTCAAACCTATACAAGAGGTTGTACTGAAGAAGTGCATTCATTAAAAAAAAGGAACCAAAGCGAGGCTTCAGGCACAGATTCACTTTGAGTCCTCACCACAGCCTGAACTAGAAACCTTAATGTGTTCTACCTCTGCTCTCCCTGCTTTTAGCCTGCTTTTACTCCTTTCAGGCTAGCTTAAGTATTCATAAAAAGGGACACAAACAGCTCCGGCACACATGAAAAGGTTCACAGGGGCATTACTCGCAACATGAGGACTGCTTGTGCCTTACCCAGACAAACGGTAAAATGGCTTTTAGTCCAGATGCGGAAATCAAAGAGCAGGTGCTGGTAGAGCTGCTGTAGAAGTGGGCTGTTCCCCTCGTTGAAAACCTGGTCCAGCAGCAGCTGGCAGGCCAATAAAACGTTCATGTCCATCATACTGCCAGGAACCTGTAGCAGAGGAAGCAAAGAGGAGAGGGGATTTGTGTTAAAGATGGTTATTTTTGAACAAGGGTTTATGGACTGTCTATTTTTGGAAACACTTGATTCTGCTGAAATGGGAGTCGAGTGCATGGATAGTACAAGTGTTTGTGTTCTGTCAGTGTTCATGTCTTTGCCACTGTCAAACGTGGCAACCCCATGAGATTATTGGGAAACAGCTTCCTTACAGGATGCTCCACCTTAACAGCATGTATTTCAGCATATCCTGTCAGACAGAAGCTGTGTCTGTGCTGCACCAACACAACACCTTATTGGCTGCCACCCTTATAGATCTATTACCACTGTGTGAAAATTGAAACTTCTGAACATCATCAATAAAACAAAAATTCCTTAATAGTATAAACTGAATAATTATTATTGCATCTCAAGGGCTCAACAACTCATTACCTTGATCCTTATATATACACAGCATTGTCCTTAGTTCCTTATATTATTAAACAAGGGGATATTCACTGTTTATATCAGCAGCAAAAAGCACATTTGCCGAGTTTGTCTTGCAAGAGATCCACAGAGTGGTTTGAAAGTCTTTGATTTTAATTTAGCTTTAAATCTACATTAATTTCCCTAGCTTTCAACAAAAATATTTCAAACCACAGATTTGATAGCTACGCTTTTGTGCTCAGTGAAAGAGCAATTGCAATCTGGCGAACTCTGCATTCATTTCCCCACACAAGCATGTGATACTGTGAATCTCATAGAACCAATGGTTTCAACACAATACCCATTCATTATACAGCAATTATACCGCAGCATTACAAAAGAAAAAAGGTCAAATATTCACTTTCAGATGCTAATCAGCTCTTTTCGCAATCAACTCCCACTTGCTGGAGCAAAACCAAGAACAGGGTGCTTACTTTGCTGAGCATGGCTCCTATGATGCTCGGCCCGTGGCACTGCAGGAGGCACTCCTGATTAACAGGGTGATGAAGAATCAGGTTTTTCACCATCAGCAGGAAGGCGGCAATGCTGTTTCTCTCTAGTCTGCCCTCTGAGAGACAAAAAATGGGGCAAATCAACATTTATGGTTTCCTGTATCTCCCAGTCATATTTCTGCATTACCAAGCACTTTGTTGACATCTGCATATCTCAGCATGAGTTGTGGTTATGGTATTTCCCTTACTTTTGCAACCGATTCATATATCTCGTGTTAGACTTCTTGCAGAATAAGGTGCATTTGGCCACTGAACTGGATCTCCACATGCGAATGTTATACCTCATGCTGATTATGACATTTAACCTGTAAGCATTGATTTCACAATCTGTTCTATGTTTGTGTGTTGTATATTATAGTATACGCCTCTTATCTGTCTTTCACATCCTGTTTGTTCCTGCAGTATGAACAGTGTATAGACGCTGACTCACTGCCATTACACATGATCTTCACTACACGGAAAATCATATTTATCATTTAGCCTAGGTCTAGTGAACAGAAATAACCAGGAACAACAACATAGTAAGCCTCAAAATTCACAATACTTTAGGTTGAACATAAAGCGTTTTCTGACTTCCCACATGTCCATACTGTACAAGTGGAAATTGTTATTTGATTTGCTAAGGTTATGAGATACTTAAGTCTAATATTTAAGCATCCATCCCACTACACTGAGGGTAAATGGTATTCGATGCTCACAGTATTCAAAAATTGAAATTAACACCCTGACATTTCCTTCCAGAAACAATGTTCCTGCCCCTTCATTTTTAGGTGAACTGACCCTTTCATGAAGAAAAATCTAGGTTTAAATATCTAAGCTAAACATGAGCTGACCTGGGGACTTGTTGAGTGGCAGCAGCATGGAAGCGGGGCCTCTGGAGGTGAGCTCTGGTCCCAGCAGGTCTGAGATCTCCTGACTGCCGCTGTTAACCTGCTCTGTTTCACATACCTGCTCCAGCAGAGGCAGCAAAACCCCTACACCTCCCATCACATTTACAACATCCTGCGAGGGAAAAAAAACTTCCACATAAGTTCTTTTTAAAGGTGACCTATCATGCCAAATGTACTTTTGTACGTCTTTTATACATAAATATGTGTCCCCGGTGTTCCAGGGGACTCACCAAGTGTCAGAAAACACAACCCTCTCTATTTTCCTCCATACCCAAATCTCTTAAAAAGGGGCTGCAACGGATCTGATTCTGTCGTGGTTAGATGTACATTGATGTCGCAGAGGTCGCGAAAGCTACCATTTACATGCACCGACATAGGAGGACTAACCACCTCAACCGGGTTATCGGCATCACGGTGAAGACACTGCTGTATCTTCACAAGTTAGACGT